ACTGTGGAAACAATAGTGTTATCACTTTCCTGTAGCCCTTGACCCTTTGTGCCCTAATTAACTATGTAAAAATTGTCAAAAATAAAGAAAAAACAAAAACCTCATCTGCTATGACTTCAGGCTTGACTGTTATGTGTGCCAGCCAATGCACAATGCATGGTGGGTTGTGGTTTGTCACCTGTACCAGCCAATGCACACATCAGTGGATACAGGTGCCTTATCACTTCTGCCTCAACCCCATATCTCACACATTACAGCTCGTGGCACAGCCTAATCAGGGCAATCCCCAATAACCCCACCAGGCCTGTCCCCAGCCCTGATTTTTGTATAAGTACCGTGCGCTAACCGATTGTGCAACTGGAGCTCCCAGCCCTGACTTTTGACACTCCAAGCTTTACTGCAGCCTAGCCCAGCCCAAGCTGATCCCATTTGGCTCTTATACATACCCATGGGTGCTGTGGGTTAACTCAGCCTGACCTGCCCTCATATCCAGGCCTCATGTATGCTGACATGTATCGCCACCTTGTCCACCCCGGACACCACCAGCCTTGGTCCTCGTGATCACTAGAAATAGGTACAGCCTAGCAGGGGAGTGCCCACAGGTCCTTGCCAGGCATGTTCCCTGCCCTGGGATAACTAACAAAGATGCAAAGCAGTAATTGGATTTTGTTTACTGTTATGTTACTATAAAGTATCAATTTTGATTATTCTTTGATTGAATAATTTTAAAAGCTAGCAATTCCTTGCTCAAATCATTGAATTGTAAATATTTTATACGCTGTTTATATGTTGCACACCAAAAGGAAGCACAGAAACTGTAGCCCAGCAGCTAAAGGCTTTGCCTTGTACATGCCAGGATCCCATATGAGTGCTGGTTTTAAACCAGTAGCCTGCTTCCCATCCTGCTTGTGACCTGAGAAAGCAGTAGAGGATGGCCCAAGGCCTTGGGACCCTGTACCCATGTGGGAGACCCAGAAGACGCTCCTGGCTCCTGGAATCAGATCGGCTCAGCTCTGGGCATTGTAGCTACTTGGGGTGTGAATCAGTGGACACATCTTCCTCTCTGTTTCTCATTCTCTGTATATCCAACCTTCCAATAAAAATAAATAAATCTTTAAAAAGAAAAAGAAAGAAAGCACAATGGACCCCGCACTGTAGTCTACTGGCTAAAGTCCTCACTTTGTATGCACCAGGATCCCATATGGGTGCCAGGTCATATCCCAGCTGCTCCACTTTCCTTCCAGCTCCCTGTTTGTGGCCTGAGAAAGCACTCAAGGACAGCACAAAGCCTGGAGGACCCTGCACCCACACAAAGAAGCTCCTGACTCCTGGCTTTGGATTAAGTCAACTCTAGCCACCGTGGCCACTTGGGGAGTGAACCAGCGGGAGGGAAGATCTCTCTGTGTATCTCCTTTTCTCTAAGAATCTGACTTTCCAATAAATAAATGTAAGAAATGAAAGGGGCCCAGCATGATAGTGTAGCAGTTAGAGTCCTCGCCTTGAACATACCAGGATCCCATATGGGTGCCGGTTCTAATCTCAGCAGCTACACTTCCCATCCAGCTCCCTGCCTGTGGCCTGGAAATCTAGTCGAGGATGGCCCAAAACTTTGGGGCCCTGCACTCGCATGGGAGATCCGGAACAGCTCCTGGCTCCTGGCTCCTGGCTTCAGATTGGCTTAGCTCCAGCTGTTTTGGTCACTTGGGGAGTGAGCCATCAGACAGACAATTTTCCTCTCTGTCTCTCCTCCTCTCTGTATATCCACATTTCCAATAAAAATAAACAAATCTTTTTAAAAAATGAAGGAATGAAGGAAGGAAAGCATCAGGGTCTCCCGTGCAGCAGAAGAAATCACCCGACACTGGAGAGCATCTCAGAGGCGCTTTATTCAAACCTCCCGTTAAAACTGTTATGTCTGTTAATTCCGTTACGCAGAAGCCCCTCCCCCTCCAAAAAGCCCCTGGCTTATATATCAATCCTATCCAATCAGCTTAAAGATCACCAAGGCACACTAATCAGGGCAAAGGGACAATCACAGGGCAGGACATTGTCAATGCCCCCAACAGGAAACGAGGGAGGGAGGAAAGAGGGAGGGGAAAGAAGTGAAAAGAGAGAAAACAGCAAAGCACCTGAATAAACAGCATTTTTATATTTGCTTTTCTGTGCAAACTTCTTCTCCTTTGTCAAATTACAGAATGGATACTCCTATTGGAAAAATATTTGGCAAAATGGAAGATGTTGATATGATACAGATTTTTCACTTCCAGATTTACTGCCTCAAGAAATTCCTTTTTAAAAATAACCTTTGTTGGAAAGCTGATTTACAGAGTGAGGGAAGGAGATACAAGATCTTCCCCAAATGGCCCCAATGGCTGGTGTTGAGCCAATTCAAAGCCAGAAGCCAGGAGCCAAAAATTTCTACCTGGTCTCTCTCATGGATGCAGGTGCCTAAATATTGGACCATTCTCCACTGCTTTCCCAGGCCATAAGCAGAGAAGTAGACAGGGACTGCAGCAGCTGGGACACAAACCAGTACCCATATGGGATGCCAGCATTTAGAGGTAGAGGATTGACCAGTTGAGCCAACATCACACCCCAAGAAATTCTTTTAAAAGAAGACTATTGGGCCCGAAACGATGGCACAGTGGTTAAGGTCCTCGCCTTGCATGCCCGGGATCCCATATGGGCACCGGTTCTAATCCCAGCAGCCCCACTTCCCATCCAGCTCCCTGCTTGTGGCCCGGAAAAGCAGTCGAGCACGGCCCAAGGCCTTGTGACCCTGCACCCATGTGGGAGACCTGGAAGAGATTCCAGGTTTCTGGCTTCAGATCAGCATAGCATCGGTCGTTGCGCTCACTTGGGGAGCGAATCATCAGAGGGAAGATCTGCCTCTCTGTCTCTCCTCTCTGTATATCCATCTTTCCAATGAAAATAAATCTTTTTTTTTTTTAAAGAAGACTATCATTTTTACTGGAAGGGTAGAGCAGATTCACACAGAGAAGGAGAGATAGAGAAAAAGATCTTCTTTTTGCTGCTTCACAACCCACGTAGCTACAATGGCCAGAGCTGAGCCAACCTGAAGCCATGAGAGAGAAGCTTATTCCATGTCTCCTATGCAGTAAAGGATCCCAAGGCTTAGGCCATTCTCTACTACTTCTCCAGTTCAGAAGCAGGGAGGCAGATGGGAAGTAGAGGAGCCAGGATATAAACTGGTACACCCATATGGGATCCCAGCATATGCCAACGTGAGAATTTAGCCAACAGGCTATCACACTGGCCTGGGATCTTTTCATTTTAAAGGTTTATTTACTTATTTGAAAGGTAGATAGGCACAAAATCTCTCATCCATTCATTCACTCCCCAAATGTTCACAATGACTGAGGTTGGACAAAGCTGAAGCCAGGAGTCTAGAATTACATCCAGGTCTCACACGTACAAACAGGGACCCAAATACATTAGCCATCTTCCATTGCTTTCCAAGATCATTAGCGGGAACAGGATTGGAAGTAGAGTAGTCAGTCCTGAAATGGGACCCATGAAATGCTAGCACTGCAGAAAGCAGCTTTACCTGCTGTGCAACAATGCTTGTCCCTATTTGTCATCTTAATGGATGTGGATTAGTCACTCTTTAATAGACCTCAATGAAAGACAAAAAAATGAGGGTGATGGCCATAAGTTTTTCCCAAGTGATGTGCAAAGAGATCTTTTGCATTGATTTGTACCTCAAGGATCAATACTGCTGCACATCACTCTATGGGCCTGATTTCTATTTACATATATTCTTTAGATAAATGTTAATTCAAGTTCTGTGCCCACTTTGAGTTGGGCAGTTTGACTTTTTGTTGCTGTGTTATTCAAATTATACAGTTTAGATATTACTCCTTTAAAGATAGATAATTTGGAAATATTTCCTCCCATTCTGTTGGTTTCCTTTTTACTCTGCTAACAGTATGCTTTTTCGCAAAAGTTTTCAATTTTTATGAAACCTGGTTTGTCATTTTTTTTAATGTTGCCTACACTTTCACATCACACTCACAAAATCTGTCAAATTCAATGCCATATGACTTTTCCCATGTTTTACTGTTTTACACTTTTTGTTCTTACATTTAGAGCCCAACTTCATTTAGTTGAATGCCTACACCCAGTTTTTCCAGTACCGTTTGTTGAAAAGACTTTTTCTTTCTTCCCTCCTTTTTCCCTGGCTCACTCCCCAAGTGGCTGCAACAGCCAGAACTGAGTCGATCCAAAGTCAGGAGCCTTTTCCATGTCTTCCACACTGGAGTGCAGGGTCCCAAGGCTTTGCGCCGTCCTCCACTGCTTTCCCAGGCCACAAGCAGGGAGCTGGATGGGAAGTAGAGAAGATGGCATTAGAATCAGTGCCCATATGGGATCCTGGGTGCATGCAAGGTGAGGACTTTAGCCACTAGGCTGTTGCTTGGGGCCTGAAAAGATCTTTTCCTACTTAATGGCAATTTAAAATTATACTTAGCAATACTATGTTGGCTAACAAAAACACATACAGGTTGGATTTTGGCCTAAAGTATACCGAGTTACAAAGGTATTTCAACTTAATTTTCACATTACAATTTCCAAACGAGCTAAAGAGAGACAATGCGATTCGCTGTGAACCATAATGTCCAAGCATTGTTAGTAGCTACTGGCGAGGAACTGGTCAAAGAATGAACTCCTCAGGCAGTTAAACCTGGGTAAACTTGCCCAATAGTAATTTTATGTTAGTATTCTGCGTGTATGATTTCATAAATACGGGTCCACCGAGAATGCGCTAAAAGTAGCCGAGTTTAAGTACAAATACGGAAAAGAACTAAACCAGGCCCAGTCCACAAGCCGCTGGAAACCCGAGCCTAAGCCCCCTGTCCATCCACAGGCCGGGAGCCTAGTGCGCGGCGCCGAGCCAGGAACAGGCGGCGCCTCTCGTGACGTTAAAACGCAGCGCCTGCCGCGGAGGGCGGGAGTTCCGGTTGCACTGAGGCTGCGCTCACCGCTCGGGTCGCACACCGGTGCTCGGCGCGTGGGCTGCACGGTGACCTGCTGGGCAGCGAGGCCGAGTAGTGAGCTGTGCGAGGTCGAATCCCGCGCTGTCTGGACTCCCTGCGCGCCCGTGGGAGAGGCTGTGCACTCTCGGTATGCGCTGCAGCTCTTCCAGGGCGGGTGCTGAGGGTGGACGGGAGAACGCGGACGCTGATCGAGGGTGCCCAAGGGAGTGGATGGAAAGAAGGGCTGCCGGGATTAGAAGCGGCGCCCATATGGGATCCTGGTACATACAAGGCAAGAACTTGAGCCACTAGGCTAGTGCAGCAGGCCCTTGTTACGACATTTTTTAGGCAAGTGATTTTAAAAATTTTTATTTTATTTTTTAAAGATTCATTTGTTTATATTGAAAAAGCAGATTTACAGAGAGAGAGAGAGAAAGATCTTCCATCTGCTGGTTCACTTTCCAAATGGCCAGAATACCTAGAGCTGGGTCAGAGCTGTGCCAATCCAAAGGGAGCCAGGAGCTTCTTCCAGATCTCTCACATAGGTGAAGGGTCTCACAAGAATATGGGCCAACCTCCACTGCTTTCCCAGACTACAGTAGGGGACCTGGAAGAGGAGTGGAGTAGCTGGGACACGAACCGGGACCGGTACCCATTGCTGGCTCTTAAAGTCAGAGAATTAGCCTGTTGAGCTGTCATGCCAGCCCCAGTATATTGCTGTGTCTTCCTGAGTTGAAAACATGAAGGCAGGCCCAGCGCGGTGGTGCAGTGGTTAAGGTCCTCACCTTGCACGCCCAGGATCCCATATGGGCACCGGTTCTAATCCTGGCAGCCCCGCTTCCCTTCCAGCTCCCTGCCTGTGGCCTGGGAAAGCAGTCGAGGACGGCCCAAAGCTTTGGGACCCTGCACCCGCGTGGGAGACCCGGAAGAGGCTCCTGGCTTCGGATTGGCACAGCATGGGCCGTTGCGCTCACCTGGGGAGTGAATCATCAGAGGGAAGATCTTCTTCTCTGTCTCTCCTCTCTGTATATCTGCCTTTCCTATAAAAATAAAATAAATCTTTTTAAAAAAACATGAGGGCATTGTACAGTGCCTTTTTTCCCCCAAAGATATTTCTTCAGATTTTGTATTGTAAAATGCCAGATAGGTTATCTTTTTCTTTCTTCTTTTTTTTAATAATCTTACTTAGTTGATTAGGGTACAAAGGGTCAAGGGCTACAGGAAAGTGGATAAGACCATTGTTTCCCCACTAATATCATTTTTTCCCCCTGCATCTGGGGTCAGGGGAGAAAGGGAGAGGCTTCACCCAGCCTCCCACCCATCCCAGGTCCCTGATGTGAGGCACACTCTGAGGGTCCTGCACAAGCAGTTCTGATAATTCAGCAGGTCTGAATTGAGGCCAGTCTCGCTGTTCCAGTCGCGTTGAAATCTATTCAGAATCCACTGGCTGACATAGTCTCTTCATGGTTGGGGTTCTGAGATCAGCAGTTCAGTTGGAGGCATCTCCAAAGAAACCTCATCTGAGGTGATCCTGCCAGACCTGATTCTTGTGTGTGCTTGCCAGTACAGAGTCTGGCACAGTCCATCGCCCCAATCAGCTTATGCATATGCTGGTGGTTGCAACTGCTGGGTCAGTTCTGTCTCCAGCCCTGTCTTCCTCCTGAACCAATGGGTGTTGCAGTCCAGCCTGATCCTACCCACTTGATACTCAGCCCTCACACAAACCAGTGGGAGCTGCAGCCTAGTTGGGGCAACTTCCCATAACCCCCACCAGGCCTGCCCCCTGCCCTGGTTCCCAAGCTTGCCAGCATGTACCACAGACTGATGCAGTTGTACAGTGCCTTTTCACCTACCATCATCTTCTGCATTTCTGTCCTTTTTTGTGTCAGATCTTGTTTTGGGGTATGTGCCTGTGCTTATCATAGAGTTGAGAATATCATGATCTCAGCTGCATCTGTGGTACAAAACCCTTGTTATCCATTAACATTGACCCCTGGGCCACTATATAAAAGTATATGCAAGTTATCCTTTTATGAACTTCATGTCTAAAATAAGGTCCCAAGTAAGTTTGGAATTTTTTGCCCAGTGAATAATTACATCCTCTTGGCTGCTGGAGTCTAGGAACAGCGGTAATGATGTAGACCTGGTGTGATGGATCAGTGCCTAAGTCCTTGCTTTGCATGCACTGGATCCCGTGCGGATGCCAGTTCATGTCCCAGCTGCTCTACTTCCCATCCAGCTCCCTGCTTGTGGCCTGGGAAAGCAGTCAAGGATGGACAAAGCCTTGGGACCCTGCACCCGCGTGGGAGACCCAAAAAAAGCTCCTGCCTTCAAATTGTCTCAGTTTTAGCTGTTGCAGCCATTTGGGGAGTGAACCAGCGGATGGAGAGCCTTTCTCTTTGTCTCACCTTCTCTTTGTAAAATCAGATGGAAGATCTTCCGCTTTGTCTCTCTCCCTCTCTGTACATCTGACTTTGCAATAAAAATAAATAAATCTTTAAAATAATAATCTTTTTTTAAAAAGGTAATGGTGCAGAACATAAAGTTGTACAAAAGTTATATAACTTGTAATTCAGTACTTGATTATATTTTAGTCCCTCATACATACTGATGTTAGTTGGGAATTTTAAAAATTGTCTTTTAACTGCATTTTTCTTCTTTTGCAGGAGTTTTTGTGTCTCCGTTTTTTTCTTTCTTTCAAAATGAATGTTAATGTCACATTAAGACCTTTAGCCAGGTTTCTGGTGCCATTTACCCTTCATGGAAAGAGAAATAATTTATATTCATCGGTTTTACATAGATGCATGTCTTCCAAAATACCAGCTATGCCCCTTCCTAATAAGGAGAGCACATCCACTTCTCAACAGCTAGAACTGGATGGATGGAAAACTACAATGAAATCTAGTGTGCAAGAAAGTATTTCAACAGGCTTGAGGGACAAGGATGAAGATCCTCTAGTTGCCACCAGAGAGTTAATTGAGATGTGGAGATTGCTTGGCAAGGAAGTACCAGAACACATCACTGAAGAAGAGCTTAAAATCATTATGGAATCTCCTTCTAAATCATCAAAAAAGAAATATTTAAAGCATTTATATGTTAAGGAAAAAATGAAAAAAGCCAAGCAAAGAAAAAAGGAAATGAAAGCAGCAGCAAGGGAAGAAGCAATGAAAGTCAAGCTGCTGGAAACCCCTGAGGAAGATAAGCAGCAGAACTTCCTGTTCCTACGACTTTGGGATAGAAATATGAACATTGCCATGGACTGGAAAGGTGCTCAGGCCATGCAGTTTGGACAGCCTTTAGTGTTTGACATGATGTATGATGATTACATGAAACCAAAAGAACTACAGAATGCTGTTTCTCAACTCTTGGAGAGTGAAGGTTGTAACAGAAGAAATATTGATCCTTTCCATATTTATTTTTGTAACCTTAAAACAAATGGTGCTTATCATACAGAGTTAGTGAAACGTTATAGAGAAAAATGGGACAAATTGCTTTTAACAGCAACAGAAAAGTCTTATGTTGATTTATTCCCAAAGGATGATATTATATATTTAACTGCAGATTCTCCAAATGTTATGACTACTTTCAAGCATGACAAAATTTATATAATTGGCTCATTCGTTGATAAGGGTATACAACCTGGAATATCCCTAGCCAAGGCAAAACGATTTAAGTTGGCAACAGAAAGCCTTCCATTAGATAAATATTTGCAGTGGGACATTGGTACCAAAAATCTTACCTTGGATCAAATGATGCGTATTTTGTTATGTCTGAAAAACACTGGTAATTGGGAAGAGGCGCTAAAGTTTGTTCCTAGGAGAAAACATGCTGGATTTCTGGAGATTTCTCAGCAATCTCAAGAGTTCATTGAAAACCTGAAGAAAGCAAAGACTTTTAAATCATTTCCCAAAAGCTCTTTAAATGTCCTTACACGGAAGAGACAGCTTAAATGAGAAAATTTGCTAGCTTAAAAAATAAATGGGTTGACAGTAGTTTTATTAGTGGTTTCTTTTTAAATGGAAATCATTTTCTGGTTTTTCTAAACTAACTGGGGAATTATGTCTTTGCCCGATCAATTGAGTATCTGCAAAACTTTTTGAATGTATTTTGTTTACTATAAAAGGCAATTAATCAAAGTAAGGAGTTGTTGATGTTTGTTGAACAGAAAAATCTTAACCCAGTAAACAGTTACACTATTGATCACTATTGATATGGCTTTTTTTTTTTAAAACATTCTCTTAGTTTCAGACCTTAAACTCCTTCTTAAATACTCTTTTATTTATGTAACAGCTATTTATCTGTGAAAAATTTATTTGGAAAAATATTTCTAAACTTCAAGTGATAGTTCATTTATTGAAGTAAATTTTCATATGCTGAGCATGTCATATGCACTAAAGAAACATTGTTTACCTGCATCTTGGTTAAGTAAAAGGCTAAGATACATCTTGGCCTGTCTTGGAATTTGGGTGTATTATGAAAAAAAGTTTGTAGGGGGTCAAACTAATTTCTTTTTACAAAGAAATTTTATTTAGCTAATGTTGATGTGACTTGTATCCTGCTGCAATACAGATAGCCTAATGTCCCCGGAATTCATCCATGTTGTATGTACCGCATCTTTCTTTAAAAAATTTTATTTATTTAAAAGGAAGAGTTATTCATTTATTTATGGGTCAGGGAAGAGATAGATTTTTTGTTATTTCATTCTTTAGATGGCTGCTATGGCCAGGGCTGAGCCACACTGGCTCCTAGTTCTTATGAGTACAGAATTCAAGAAGTTGGCTTAGCCTCTCACCTGTCTTGGCCTTTGCCTTCGATGCTGTGTCCTATCAGTGTAAGAGCCCAATTCAGCATGACATGTGCTCCATCCTGGTTTCTGTTCTTTCTTTTTTTTTTTTTTTTTTAAAGATTTATTTTTATTGGAAAGGTGGATATACAGAAAGGAGAGACAAAGAGGAAGATCTTCCTTCCAATGATTCACTCCCCAGGCGGGCGCAACAGCTGGAGCTGAGCCAATCCGAAGCCAGGAGCCTCTTCTGGGTCTCCCACGCGGGTGCAGGGTCCCAAAGCTTTGGGCTGTCCTCGACTGCTTTCCCAGGCCACAAGCAGGGAGCTGGAAGGGAAGCGGGGCTGCCAAACCGGCACCCATATGGGATCCTGGGCGTGCAAGGTGAGGACCTTAACCACTGCACCATTGCACCGGGCCCAGGTTTCTGTTCTTTCTTGTGAGTTGTGGTTTGCTTGGCCCTGCCTGGTCCATTAGGGAGATGATTCAGAACTGGAACAGCCAAAACAGCCAGTACTTGAACTAGTGCGCATATCACGCTGGCACTGTAGGCAGCAGCTTAATCAGTTATGCCACGCTGCCGGGCCCCAGCATCACCTTTTAAAAAAAGATTATTATTATTTTAAAGATTTATTTAATTTTATTGCAAAGTCAGATGTACAGAAAGATCTTCCATCCGATTTTACAAAGAGAAGGCGAGACAAAGAGAAAGACTTTCCATCCGCTGGTTCACTCCCCAAATGGCTGCAATAGCCAAAGCTGAGACAATTTGAAGGCAGGAGCTTTTTTTGGGTCTCCCACACGGGTGCAGGGTCCCAAGGCTTTGTCCATCCTTGACTGCTTTCCCAGTCCCTAAATTTTTTTAATATCTATTTTTTAAAAGATTTATTTATTTTTATTACAAAGTCAGGTATACTGAGAGGAGGAGAAACAGAGAGGAAGATCTTTCGCCCAATGATTCACTCCCCAAGTGAACACAACGGCCAGTGCTGCACCGATCCAAAGCTAGGAGCCAGGAACTTCTTCCAGGTCTCCCACACAGGTGCAGGGTCCCAAGGCTTTGGGCCGTCCTCAACTGCTTTCCCAGGCCCACAAGCAAGGAGCTTGATGGGAAGTAGAGCTGCCGGGATTAGAACCGGGGCCCTGTGCGTTCAAGGTGAGGACTTTAGCCACTAGGCCACCACACTGGACCCTTTAATATCTATTTGAAAGAGTTTCCAGAAATCTATCCATTGGGCAAATCCTCAGATGGCCACAACGGAGTAGCACTTTCCCAGACCAAAGCCAGGAGCTTCATCCAGGTCTTTCATGTGGGTTGCAGGGGCCCAAGGACTTGGACCATCTCCCACTACTTTTCCCAGGATGATAGCAGGAAGAATAATCTATACCACAACTGTAAACTTACTCCACACCGGCCCGGTAGAAATTTAACCATCTATATATTCACTTTTTAAATTGTAAATTGTTTGCATGTAATTTGGTGATATAAAGTGATACAAATATGGACTTCTAAGATTTCTGGTAGCTGGGGCAGTCTTCTGGCCCAAGAAGACACTTAGGATTCCTGCATCCCAGACTACCTGGATTCAAGTCCTGGCTGTGCTCATTCCAGCATTTAAAACATAATTTGAATAAAATATGAACACTAACTACCTTTTAAGTTGTTTTTTTTTATTAAGCGAGCAGCTACCATGGCCAAGCATCTGTTAGAAATTTAACCTAAGAAATAATGCAGTCCTAATGTTCCAGGTAAGTATTGCTTTGCAGTAACAATGTACTCAGTAGTACTGTTACTGCAAACACAAAATTAGCAAATGGTAGTCCATTTAAATCCACTTCTGTGTGACCCCAAACTGCTTCTCTGCCTTGCACACCACCTCTTCATTCCCTAAACCATTTGCAGAGCAACTTGCACTCATGGCTTTCAGTGAGTATTTGCTGAGATTCGTATAATCTAGATCCTGGGGAAACAGTGGTGACCAAAACTGTCACACACAGGGCAAGCACAAAAGAAGTTCCTGGCTCCTGCGCTGGATTGGCTCAATTGCAACCGTTGCAGCCACTTGGGGAGTGGCCACAAATGGAAGATCTTTCTGTCTTTCCTTTATAAATATGCCTTTCCAATTAAAAAATAAATTTTTATAATAAAAATGGAAACAAACACTAAGTACCCGCTCCAAGATAAGCTTCCTGCTTGCTTTTACACGTATAATAAAGATAGTGAGTCATGGACTTCAAGCCAGAGCACACAGTGAGGGAACAATAAGCAACAGTATACCTCGCTTGATCCCCACAAGCACCTTCGGGGATGCTATCACTATCTAGTTTCAAGAGCTGTCAATCAGCGCCTCAAACCTAACTTTGATTCCTAAGACTAAACCCTAATGTTGACTGCATACTGCAGGGAAAATCCATTAAGCGCAGCTTCCCAGCAATGCAGGTAATCCACCCCATTTGGTAGAAGGCTGCATAAATATATAGAAAAGGAGAAGATGAGACCACAAAAGCGGGCTGGTTCCTAACCTAACACCTAGACTGCATTCTACTGATCCCCGGAATCCACCAAGTCACTCAGGAAGGGGGGAAAAAAAAAAAAAGCTCTCAACTTGAAAGATTTTGACCTGGGGAGAAGTCGTCATCATTCCGCTTCTCCACCTGGGGACACTGTCTTTCTCTGGTTCCCTGCTCAGATATTTAAAGCAGGGTAATTCCGCCTCGGACTAATGTAGGTGCAATCGATGGTGCAGGGAAGGCGACTAACACTTGAGGGCGCCCTATAAAAGCTTACTCCCTGGGAAGCAAGGAAAAATCAAGTTATTTTTTGGTCCCAATACGTAGAAGAGGCGCACACACGTGAGGCAACTAGGGCGGCGCGAACAGACCTTGATGACGTCGAGTTTGCAGAAACCTACGCTCCACCCACGTCTCCAGAGAGAGGCTCGCAACCGGCTCCGACCCCTGAGCTCCTGCACCGAAGAAAGCAAGTCTCCACCCAGCCCTCCACAGACACCACCCACTCGCCTCTTTCCCAGTGCCGCGGCGGCTGCTTCACGACGTCACATCCGCCTCCGTTGGCCCGGGCCGCTCTAGGCTGCCATCTCGTCGCCGGCCCCACAGCTCGGTGGTCGCTGGGCGGGGCCGTGACGTCTCTGGCGTGGCTGCAGGGGAGGCCGCGGCGGGGAAAATGGCGGACGGAAAGGCGGGAGAAGAGAAGGCTGAAAAGCCGCAGCGAGCTGGAGCCGCCGGAGGTGAACACAACCCCAGCGTCGCGGGCTGCGTGGGATGTGTCGGGCTTTTCTTTGAGTTCCCCGGGGTGGGGGGCGCGGGGTGGGGGCAGGACTGTGCGGGTCTGGCATTCACTCGGCCAGGTGCTGGGCCCAGACGAGCCCCAGGCACGCCCGTGAGGCCCACTGGGCTCTGGGCCTTCACCCGCCCTCCTTGCCGGGCGAGCGGGCAGCTGGTCGTCACCTTGTGGCCCCAGCTGGCCCCAGCGGACGCCGCTGTCGGAAGAGAAGGGGAAAGGGGCGCGAGTAAGGAGCAGAGAAGCTCGGGGGTGGGACCGGGATCGGCGGTGCAGGAGCCGCGTCCCGCCGCACCGGGGACGCAGCTCACGACACGCAGGAGGCTCATCACACGACACACAGGCATCCCCGGGGCCGGCGCCGAGCGGCCAGCGCTGGCCGCAGGCCGACTTTCCGCCGGCCTCTCGGTTACACGTAGGAGCGAGTGAGGCCGGCGGCTGCGAAGGCGGGCGGGCCGGTCCGGGGTGGAGAGGAGTGCCTTCGCCCGCCTCTGCTGTAAGCTCCGGTCTACAGCCTGGCGGCGGCGGCTGCTGCTGCTGCTGCTGCTTTGGGTGTTCTTTTTTTTTTTTTTTAAAGAAGATCTCTCTCCTCAGACCGTTGCCAGTTGTCCGCCAGCCGGTTAGTTAGGTTGCTGAATTGGCGGGTGTGAGTCTTGTATTTTGTTACGAGGTTAACCAGGTTAGGGGTTAGCCTTATTTTACGCAGCGCCGTCAGTTGGGGTCTGGTGCTTTAAGGAAAACAATAACCCCACTTTATTGTAGGACGGCGGTGGCTAGACACGTGCAAGCGGCCGTCATGTTTTGTTCAAAACGCTTTTAAGTATTCTCAGAGTGTTTCATCTGGAAAAAAGAATAATGGAGATAAATAGTGTAGAAAAACAGCAGTGCAGCAATGTTTAATGAGTTGTGGATAGCAGACATTGAAACGCTTGAGTGTTGTGTTGCGTTGCTTTGAGCTCAGAATTTCTTTTTTAAAAAGCCTGTAGAGTGCTGTCATTTGAAATTCCCTCCTCCTCACTTGAACTAGTAAAGAGCTGATGGAAATGCGAAGTGAAGCACCAAGTGCTGCCTCGGGAGGGCCCCACCTCCCACCCCCCAAAAAATACTGTCTTGGAAATTGTCAGGTATGATTGCACGAAAATTTAAAATCAGTTTAAAGAATGACTTAAGCGTCGCAAAGATTCTAGCCACTCCTCCACATGCTCTATAGCCTGGAGAATCTTCCATGGCTTAGCCTGCCTTACTAGAACTGCAGTGTTGAAAGCGCTGCCAGAGTGTCCCCGACGTGTCAGCACAATGTCTTTGTGCACTTGACCGATCACCCTTTCAGTATACATACTAGATTTGTCAGATGAATATTGAGATTTACCTTTTAGCATTTGGGGAAGGGTAATGTGAGTTATCAGAAAAGTTCTTTTTTTTAATATATAAATCAAAATATCCCTTCTGCCTAGTTTGCATCATTTTCTGTACAAGAAAGCAGGACTGTTGCATATAAAACATTTTTAGGTATCAGGTTTTTTTTTTAAGGATTTATTTTTATTGGAAGGGCACACCTACAAAGAGAAGTATAGAAAGAGAGAAAGAAATATTTTCCATCAGCTGGTTCACTTCCCAAGTGGCTGCAACAACCAGAACTCAGCCAATCCAAACCCAGGAGCCAGAAGCTGTTTCAGGGTCTCCCACAGGGCCGCCTCTCCTGCCTTTCCCAGGCTGCATGCAGGGAGCCAGCTGGGAAGTGGAGCAGCTGGGACATGGCCTTAGTCACTGTGTCACCATGGGCCGGACACCATGCTGGGCCCTAAGTGTCAGATATTTTAATGAAATTGTGCCTAGGAATCACAAAGTGTTTAATTCAATGTATATTATCAAATTGGTAATTATGTAGTACGTGTCTTTTCTTTTTTAAAAAAACTATTGGGATCTTATAGCATGAGTTTGTGGATATTGAGCAGTTCACTAAACTGGAAGCATAGTTTTTTTTTTATGGGAAGATTACTTTTATGGTTGACGTTAATTTATGTGAGAGAAGCTGATTACTTAAACTGCTTGGTTTCAGGTTTAAAATAGACTAAGGTTTTGTGTAGACTTTTTTTTATCCTAGATTAAGATTTGTAGCTCTCTGAAATGAGAGGGGACGAGAGGAAAACTGTTCATAATCGCAGCCTTCTCCGGCGTTGCGCTAGGTTGTGCTGAGAAGTGCTTCCACTGAAATTGTCACTTTCCAACACACTAGTAGAGGCTTGACTGTTTTTTTTTTTTTTTTAAGGCTGTTTAGTTTTATTTGAAAGGCAGATTTATAGAGAGGGGAAAGACTAAGAAAGATCTTCCATCTGCTAGTTCATTCCCTACCCGCAGCTGGGAGCCTCCCACGGGTTCAGGGTCCCACATCTCTGAGCCATCCTCTGCTGCTTTCCCAGGTCATAAGCGGGGAGCAGGACGGGAAGGAAAGCAGGCAGGACAGGAAACTGGCGTCCATATAGGATACTGGCATTTGCAGGTGGAGGATTAGCCAGGCCTGACTACATTCTTTAAATTGTGCAGCTAGTGAGATGCAAATAGATCCTGAAGGCTGCCTTTCTTAAGAGGTAATTCATGTTTGTGCTCCAAACCCCCCCCCCTTACTCTGTGGAGAAGAAAACAAAAACAGTACCTTCTGTGAATTCTGTTTCACACAAATTAAGACTAGTAATTTGATAGACTTTATCCATGCTTCGTGCTGTAAATGGATGTGATTTTATTTTTGGATATCCTTTTTTGTTGTTGTTGATTAAGATTTATTTATTTTTATTGGAAAGGCGAATATACAAAGGAGGAGAGGCAGAGAGGAAGATCTTCTGTCCAATGGTTCACTCCCCAAGTGACCACAATTGCTGGAGCTGAGCCAATCTGAAGCCAGGAGTCAGGAGCTCTTCTGGGTCTCCCATGCGGGTGCAGGGTCCCAATGCTTTGGGCCCTCCTTAACTGCTTTCCCAGGCCACAAGCAGGGAGCTAAATGGGAAGCAGGACTGCCAGGATTAGAACCAGTGACCATATGGGATCCCGGCGCGTGCTAAGCGAGGACTTTAACCACTGCGCTATTGCACCAGGCCCTATTTTTTGGATATTCTTTGTATTTGACTAAAAGTGTTCACAGTCCTAATTTGTGGTCATCAAAAATTTTATTGCCTGAAGTCCTCCTAAGTACAAAATGTCTCTTTCAATACATTGAAAAGAAAAGCTCCAAATCCTAAAATAAAATTATGCGAGCTGTGGCTTATAGTTTTCAAATTATATATATATAATTCTCATATATATATATGAGAATGGATTTGTAAAAATTGTTGAAACAATTGCATTATTATCCTAGGTTGGTCAATTACAGTTTCCATCTTAGTTTATTCTGCTAACTTTCTTTTGCAAATGCCTTGTGTATTCGCACGATAATTGTTAGGAGGGTTAGATAAGAGTAAAATAACAGTGTGCCATATTGAGCTTTTTTAAAGATTTTTATTTTTATTGAATAGGCACATTTACAGAGAAGCAGAAACAGATCCTCCATCCCCTGGGCCGCTTCCTAAATATCTGTAGCTGGGAGCCTGGGGCTTCTTCCAAGTCTGCTCATGGGTGTAAAAGGCCCAAGGACTTGCCATCTCTGCTGCTTTCTTAGGCACATTAGTAGGGAACTGGATTGGAAGTGGAACAGTTGGGACCTGAACTGTCATCCATATGGGATGCTGGCACCACAAGCCAAGGCTTACTTAACTGTGCCATGGCATCTGCCCCCACGTTGAGCTTTTTAAAGCTAGAAATGAGGGCCAATAATGCAGCCATCTTCATGCCCTGCTGTCCTCACCTCTTCACTGAGCTAAGCAAACTGGTAGTTTTTAGTTGCTTTTAAGGGGAAAAAAAGAGAGAGAAAGCCAGTTATTTACTATGTCTAGAAATTGCCTGATATCAGTCATATATAGAAATTACCTAATAGACATGCTTAATGTTGACCTGTATTATTTTTGGCCTCATTTGCCTCCTCTAGTAGCAACACAGATATGAATAAAGTTGAGCTGCTTATACTTACTGAGTGGAAGAGAATTCTCCCTGTCCCTTTGTATGATTTTTGCTAGAGCAGTCCCCATGGAAATTTTTATCGTGGCATAATGGCATTAGACAAAATTACATTCCATTTGTTAAGACATAGGAATTTGGCTAGTTATGAACTTTAATTTTTTAAGGGTTTTTTTTTCTTTTTAAGTTTTTTTTTTTAATGTATTTATGTATTTTGAAAGGCAGCATTATGGAGAAAGTAAGAGACATATAATTTGTCCATTGGTTCACTCCCCAAAGGGCTGTAGCATAGCGGGAGCCAAGAGCTGCTTCCAGGGCTCCTATTTGGGTGCAGGAATCCAAGCACTTGAGCCATCTTCCCAGACACATAAGCAGGGAACGAGCTCAGAAGTGAAGCAGCCAAGTCTCGGTGCTCAAAAGGGATGCAAGCACCGTGGGCAGTGGCTTAATATGCTATACCATAGTGCTGGCCCCAGATCTAATATTATTAATATTTTTATCAATGTATCTGAGAGGCAGAAATCCCATGTGTATGTCTTAAACTGAATTGTTTTTCAGCTATTGAATAGCAATCTTTACCTCTTCAGATGCTTTTGTAGTTCCAAATATAGATAATGGTGCCTGGCACAGTGGCCTAGTAGCTAAAGTCCTTGCCTTGAACCTGTTGGGATCCCATATGGGTGCTGGTTCTAATCCCAGCAGCTCCACTTCCCATCTAGCTCCCTGCTTGTGGCCTGGGAAAGCAGCAGAGGATGGCCCAAAGCCTTGGGACTCTGCACCTGTGTGGGAGACCTGGAGGAAGTTCCTGGCTCCTAGCTTCAGGTCGGCGCAGCACTGGCCATTGTGCAGTCACTTGGAGAGTGAATCATCGGATGGAAGATCTTCCTCTCTGTCTCCTTCTCTCTGTATATCTGACTTTGCAATACAAATAAATAAATCTTAATAAGTAAATGCCTCCAAAGGCATGGTTAGGGCTCATTAAAAATATACATATATATGAATAATGACACCTCAGGCAGCGCTGTCTTTGCTTTTTAGGAAAATCCCCAAACCTAATCCTGTTTAATTCCCTCCCTTTCATTGTTACAACTTTCACCGCTTGTTCAAAAGGAAAAAAATTCCTGTATTAAGTTATAAATATTTGTTTATTTGAGAAAGAGCCCCATCCATTGGTCCACTCCCCAGATTCCCTCAGTGGCTGAGGATGAAGTCAAGAGCCAGGACCTTATTCCATTTCAGAGCTGTGTATGCTGCGGGAAATCTAACTTAAGCTGTCCCCACTGCTTCCCAGGGTCTACATTAACCAGAGTTGGGTATTAAACAGCTGCTCTGAAATGGGTAGTAGATAGGTCTTAAGTGCTAGGCTAAAATTCCTGCCTCTTTAGTCTAAACAAAGTCAGTGTTCCATTCAAAGTGTGCATTAATTTGTAGTCACCACTCGGAACAAATCTGTAGCCTCCAGTCAGTCATTTCATCCTTATCAATCTACGTACTTGTTTGTCTCCCATTCTAGTGTTTTGTCCTGTTTTGTGAGCTATTGTCAAGGACATCCCTACAGTATCTTTTTCTCTAAAAAACAACTCATTATCCGGTGTAGCAGGATGCATTCAAATGGTAAATTGGCAAACTGAGGGAAGAAAATGAAATTGTCTTCTGTCTGATCTCCTAGTATGTTCTTGACCTGTCTTATATGGGACCTAAAGCACTCAGGAGATGACTTAATTTAGTCATTAACAGAAATTAAGCAAAATTGTTGAAAGACATCTTGCCTTCCAAGCCTACATTTGTCTGCCATCTACTGTTTGATACTGTGATTAGCTCAGTTTTCTTTCATTACAAACCAGAATATAGAATACAAAATGTGAATTTTTTAAAAATAAATTTTATATTTAACGTAAAACAAATGATAACCAAGCTTTCTTAGAATAAATTACTCGAGATGAGCTTGGAATATTCCTTTAGATTCTTAGTGAATCTTTAAGATTGTGTGATATGCACATGAGGAACACATCATTAAGAAAATAATTCTAACTTGTATTAAGACTGTAATTTGGGTAATGACTTGTTCATGGCTAGGTATTTGTATAATTTATACTATTGAAAGATAGTAGAATATACTAATCAAATGCATTATCTTAACTGTTCAAAACTAATTTGTTTAATTTTCTAAAAAGCAAAATTACAACCAGATTGTACAATTAATTTACTATTTAGTTAAGGGTCTTTACTTTTCTGTGAACTCTGTGTTTATAATTTTAAATTGCTCTGTATTTTATGCTAGTTAATTCAAGGGAGCCTCTTCTACTGCCACACAATCTCAGTTCCTGCTGTATACTCTAACAAACAGTGGAAGAGACTGTTGGGTCAGTAGGTGACAACTGCAGAGGTATCTTCCTTGTAACGATGCTTTTTGAGGTTGCTGCTCCCATCAATCTGCTCAGTAAAAATAGCTCATCTTGGTAAGTTGTTTCGACTTCACCAGGACCTGAAGAAGAAGCAGAAAAACCTGTGAAAACTAAGACTGTTTCTTCCAGTAATGGAGGGGAAAGTTCCAGTCGCAGCGCTGAGAAGCGATCAGCTGAAGAAGAAGCTGCAGACCTCCCAACAAAACCCACAAAGATCTCCAAGTTTGGATTTGCCATAGGTAGTCAGACGTCAAAGAAAGCATCAGCCATATCTATCAAACTTGGATCAAGTGTGAGTTCTTATTGTATATATTTTTTTAAGTGAATATTTAAGGATTTGTTTTTGGAAACTTTTTATTAGATTATGACAAAATAAGTATAGTTACTTTGATGTACATTACTTGAGATGTTCCCCTTTGATGTATGAAGTTTCGTGTAAAAGTTATTAGTATGCTCTTTAAGAAAGGTCTAAATAAACCCCATCTTAATAAAATGATTTTGGGGGTAAGCGTGATGCAGTATATTAAACATCCTTGAGATGCCTGCATCCCATAGAGAGCCAGTTCAAATCCAGTTGTTCCACTTCTAATCCAGTTCCCTGTTAATACAGCAAGATGGTGGCCCCTGCCACCCTTAGAGGAGGTTAAGGTGAAGTTGGCTCTTACTTTTCCGTATAGACCATTTGGGAACAGGATGGGTGATGGAAGCCCTCTGTCCAGTTATGCTTTTCTAGTAAGTAAATCTTCAAAAAATAATAGTAAAATGTCTTTTAATTAATGTCTGGAGTATTAGGATAAACTTTTTAGAAATATATAACTTATAAAGTAATAACCTATAAAATTGTTACAAGTTGAACAAACTTTTGAAAAATATTTTTTAAAAGTTTAATCTTTTTAATACTGGTAATACTAAAAAATTAGAATCTTAAAACTTGTTAATTAAATTCTGTTTATTTATTGCTTTTTATTAGAAAGGCAAACTCCAGCAGCAGACAGGGGTGATGCAGACCAAAGCTAAGAGCCTGGAACTTCATTTGCTCTCACATGTAAATGAGTCACCTGCTTCCCCCAGTGCACATTTGCAGGAAGCTAGACTCAGAGGTGGAGCTGGGACTGTAATCCAGGCCCAGGAAGTTGTTAACCGCTTTCCCCAGGTGTTTGTGTCATTAGTAAGTTATTATGAAGAGCTTACCTTGATGGTAAGAACTTGTGGTTATTTTAACCTGCAACTACAAATGAACATTAATACTTTATATCTATAATAATGAATAATTTTATCCACTGTTTTAAAATATAAACCATGATTTAGTATTTATTTACCATGGGACCTCTGGAAGTATTTGAAATATTAGGTTGAACTATGTGAACTATACTTAATAGTTTACTTATTAAGTAAACTTAATAACTTACTTATTAAGTATACTTAATGCTTAATAACTATACTTAATTTTGACCTTCAGCGTAAGTTTTATATGATTTATTAATAGTGTGGTGTTATTAGCTTTGGAAAATGATCACCAGTACCTATATGGGATCCAGCACATGCAAGGCGAAGATTTAGCCACTAGGCTATCGTGCAAGCCCTATATATATATATAATTTGAAAGGTAGATTTACAAAGAAAAGGAGGAAGGAGAAAGCTTTTCCATTTACTGCTTCACTCCCCAAATGGCCACAGTGGCTGGGGCTGAGCCAGTCCGAAGCCAGAAGCCAGGAACTTTCCTCTGGGTCTGCCACGGGGGGTGCAGGGTCCCAAGGCTTTGGGCTGTCCTCTATTGCTTTCCCAGGCTAGAAGCAGAAAGCTGAATGGGGAGTGGAGCATTGTATTGATTTCAATGGCTGTTTAGGAAGGTTTTATTTACCTCTGACGGTATTCGTTAGATAATTGATACTAAATGTAGATCCTAGCTACATAACCTATTACAGGAAGAAAATAAACACAAATTGATTAAAAAAGCAAAACTCCACACTGATGATCCAAGTTGAGTGTTTAAAGATAAATTACTCATATCACTAAACAAGTCTGTGTGAGACTGATTTGCTGCTTGTTTGTTTTTTCTGTTTCATCTCCAGAAGCCTAAGGAACCTGTTCCAACTCTTGCTCCAAAAACCCTTTCAGTAGCAGCGGCTTTTAATGAAGATGAAGATGTAAGTTAACACCCGTTTTGTTTACTTCAGTTCTTTCAGAAAGGAATAAGTGATGGATTATAGGGTGTGTTGGTATTACTGAATTTTCTTTATATCATTTTTTATGTGAAATTATAAAAAGATGTTTACTTTGGTGTTTATCTGGAAATCTTTGAGAGGCTATCATAATATAGTATGTCAAGCCACTGCCTGATGTACCACCACAATGACCGGAGCTGAGCTGATCCGAAGCCAGGAGCTTCTGGGTCTCCTGCACAGGTGCAGGGTTCCAAGGCCTTGGGCCTGCCTCAACTGTATTCCCAGGCCACAAGCAGGGAGCTGGAAGGGAAGCGGAGCAGCTAGGATATGAATAGGCGCCCATATGGGATCCTGAAACATGTAAGGTGAGGACTTTAGCCACAAGGCTGCTATGCAAGGCCCGCTACTCTGTTTCTGATCCACCTCTGCTAACAGGCCAGGGAAGCAGCAGCAGATTGAAGCACTTGAATCCTTGACGCCCACATGGCCCATCCACAGCCTTGTGGCCATTTTGGAGAGTACTCTCGTGAGTGGAAGATTCCCACCCCTCCAACCCTGGCCCCCCTCTCTGTAACTGCCTTTCAAGTAAATGAATACAGTCTTTTTTTTTTTTAAGCTTTTGAAAGGCAGAGAGAGAGAAGGAAAAGAGACCGATGCAGCCACTGGTTCATCACTGCATGGACACAATGGCCAGGGCTGTGCCACTTGGAAGCCAAGAACCAGGAACCCCATCTGGGTCTCCTACATGACTGTGAGGGGTCTGTGTACTTAGGCTGAGCTGGTTCGGGAACAGGAGGCCCGGGCCTGAATCAGGGCTCTGATAGAGGATACAGGCATGACAGTGCAGCACAACCCCAGCTCCGGTGCTTGCACTTGGAAAGGCAGCTGTTACGCTTGTTTTCTATATCTCTTAGAGCATTATCTTACATACTGCTGATGATTCTGAGAAGTTCTGCTCATTAGGCATGCATTCCAGGGTGCGTGTAAGATGTGTCAACTGCGGTTCTCACAGTGCCTCCTATCTTAACATTGTTTATAATGACTAATGGAATCTTTAAGCATAGAGTAATTTTTGTATTAGTCTCTTAACTTCCACCTCAGATGGGACCTAGCTGCATAAAAACGAAATGCCAACAGGGTACCTTGTTTCCAAAAGCTGTATGGATAAAAGTTATAGTTAGAAGTACAGATAAAGGAATAGAGTGATTTGGAGAAGTAATTTGGATCTGATGCTAAAACATTATGCAGTGGGACAGCTCAGTGGCTAAATGCTTGCTTTACATGTGCCAGGATCCCATATGGGTGCCTGTTCATGTCCTGGCTGCTCCACTTCCCTTCCAGCTCCCTGCTAGTGGCCTGGGAAAGCAGTCAAGAATGGCCCAAAGCCTTGGGACCTTCACCCATGTGGGAGACCCAGAAAAAGCTCCTGGCTTCAGATCAATACAGCTCTGGTTGTTGCAGTCACTTGTGTGGGAGTTGGGGGCTGGGAGACACGGGGGATGACAAATCTGTCCCATTCTCTGTAAATCTGCCTTTACAATAAAAATGTTTTTAAAAACGTAAATAAGTTTAACAATTTCTTAAGCTTTTTTCCCTCCAGTTTCTGAGTTGTAAAATGAAGACTTTTTGTTTTACTTAAAAGTTTCATTTATTTGAAAAGTAGAATTACCAAGAGAAGTAGGGAGGGAGGGAGGTCTTTGCTGGTTTACCCCCAAATGGTCAGTGAACAGTTGAGGCTAAGCCAGTATGAAGCCAGGAGTTAGGAGCTTCCTCCAGGTCTCCCACAGGGCTGCAAGAAGGTTCCAAGCACTTGAGCCATCTTCTATGTCCTTCCCAGGTACATAAGCAGGGAACTTACTGGAAGTGGAGCAGTAAGGACAGTGCCCACAGGCGATGCTGGCACTGCAGGTGTCAGCTTAACTTTAAAGGCAGGGTGAAAGAGGGAGAAACACACGGAGGCACATCTGCCATTTCACTTCCCAAGTGCTAGGGCTAAGGTCAATACTGGACTGCATCTTCCAGATAGGTAGCAATACTAGCTGTCATCTGCATTTGGAGTGTGCATTAGTGAAAGCTGGAATGAAGAGATGGAGCCAGGGATTGAACCAGTGATGGGGATATGCCGACCAGTGTTCCCAGTGCTAGGCTGAATGCCTGAGATCTGAAGGTTCAGTTTACAAGATAGATTTGTAAGCCATTTCTCAAAGTTCTGGGGTCCTGTGGAAGTATCTTAGGAGCTACTGTTGTGTGACTACTAAGCAGAGCTCTGATCCTCTGCCCCTGTTGAACTTAAATTTGTTTGGTATTTCAGAATCCAAGGAAGATTTTTTTGGGGGAAAAATTTCATTGCCACCAAAAATAAAGGAGGGGGAGCAAAAAGCAGTAACTTAGCTAATATTTCAATTTTTTCTGGCATCTTTACCAACGGGTTGTTTAATCAAACCCATTTAAATCTATGCAAGGATAGAAGGGTGATAGAAGAAAGTACATGTGCTGAAGTGCAGAGGCCTGGGGCTCCTGTGGTGGCAGGGCAGGCTAACCCGCTGCATGTGGGAGCCAGGATCCTGTATAGGTGCTGCTTTGTGTGCAGAGGCTGGAAATTATAATCACCTTACGTTAGCATAACTTGCTTTGTATATAACAATTTGGCATAACTTTAATTTACTTTGAATGTTTAAAAATGTCAATGCAACTTAACCCTCTGTCTGTAATGTGTTTAATCAGATTTTAAAACTTGTTTATTTTTATTTGAAAGGTATAATGTATTACAGAGAGACAGGGAGAGAGAAATCTTTTAATTTGCTGGTTCACTCCCCAAATGGCAACAACAGCCAAAGTTGAGCTGATCTGATGCCAGGAGCCAATAAAAATAAATAAATCTTTAAAAAGAAAAAAAATGTATTGGAAACAGTGACCACACACACCCCTTTTCCCTAACCCTCTATCCTTCCCATCGTGATCAACTATGTAAAAATCATCTCAAATAAAAATGAAAAAGAATTTTTTTTTTAAGTTGGCTTAGCAGTAGCATTTTTACATAGAAATATGCCCAAAGGGAACTTGTCCTCCAGTTTTTAGCAGCTATGGGGGCTGTCTGACTTGAAGCTTTTGAGAACATGCAGTACACTGATGTGGCTGAGAGTGCACGGATTCGCCTCAGAATGGTTTGCTGTTCGCCAGCTTGGTGACTTTGAGCAAATTATTACCTCACCTGCAAAATGCAGCTAGTAATCATTTCCCTTTGGTGGGATTGTTATGTTGGAGTATAAAAGTATATATTAAGGCACTTTATAACACACTGTGAAATAGTGTTAAATAGTGAAATAGTTTTGCTTCTAGAATATAAAATTTTTTATCTTTTGTATTAATTGACCTAATTATGTGAATGAGAGGTCTCATAACAAACATTATGTTTTACAAAAAAGTCTAAGCATGGGTTTATAAATTTTGCACAAAATAAACATCCTTTATATTTTTCCATGGGTTTTTAAAAAATATCTTCATATTAATGGGGTACATTGATAACTATCATGTATGTAATATCATGGTATTTTTACAAGTTGTAAAAATACATGCCCACTCTACTCCAATCCACTTGAAACGCAGAATGACAGAAAGGGAAATAGTATCTTCATGTGCTGATTCCCTTCCCAGATACCCAGAATAACTGATCTGTAGCAGGCCTAAGCCAGCACCCAACATTCCAGTCGTATTTCCTGTGTTGGTGGCAGGGGTACCGTGACTTGCTGTTTCCAAGGATGTGTTAGCAGAAAGCTGGATCAAACCGATACTCTGATACAGGATATCAGCACCCAAGTAGCAGCTTAACCCTCTATGCCACAGCGCCCAGTCCCACCCCCCCTCACTTTTTCTTTATGCAAAATCAATACCCTAGAAGACAAACCATTTCTTTTTTTAAAAAAAATCAAATAATGGGCCTGGTGCAGTAGCCTAGTGGCTAAAGTATTCGCCTTGCATGCAGCAGAATCCTATATGGGCACCAGTTCTTATCCCGACTGCTCTACTTCCCATCCAGCTACCTACTTGTAGCCTGGGAAAGCAGTGGAGGACAGCCCAAAGCCTTTGGACCCTGCAATCACATGGGAGACCCGGAAGAAGCTCCTGCCTCCTGGCTTCAGATTGGCTCAGCTCTGGCCGTTGTGACCACTTGGGGAGTGAGCCGGCTGACAGATGATCCTCTTCTGTGTCTCTCCTCTCTGTATATTCAATTTCCAATAAAATAAATCTGTTTTAAAAACTCAAATAACACTAGAGATACATAGTACACTGATTTTTCTCCTTTTATCAAAATTCATGGTATTAATGCTAAAGGACCAATATGAAACTTTGTAGTTATCAAGTGAATTTAAGAAATTTGATTCATTTCAGTTTACTATTTTTTTCCTGCAGAGTGAACCAGAGGAAATGCCTCCAGAAGCAAAAATGAGAATGAAGAATATTGGGAGGTATTAAATTTTTATATATTGTAGAAAATTATAAGGGTATAAGAATAAGTCACACATGTTTTTCTGCATTTAAGTTTGTGGGTTGTGGGGGTTTTCCTTGTTTTGTCCTTTTTGTTTCTCTAATTTTTGTTTGTTTGACAGTCAGAGGGAGAGAGGAAGACACAGAAAGACAGCGAGATCTTCCATTTGCTTGTTTACTCCCCAAATAGCTGTAAAAGCAGGGCTGAACCAGGACAGGTCCAGGGACGGGGGTTCTTCCTGATCTCATGTTGGTGGCATGAGGCTTAAACACTCGGGCCACTTCCACTGCTTTCCCCAGGACATTAGCAGGGAGCTGGATTAGAATTGAAACAGCCAGACGTAACCCGTCACATGTATAGGATTTTAGCCTTGCAAGTGGCAGCTTACCCAAGCGTGCCACAATGGTTGCCCTGCATTTGAGCAAAACTATTCTTGTGCATTTGGGCAAAACTATTTTCTCTATACTAAATGATAATTGGGATTTTAAAATTCAGAAGGACCTTAAGTGTTTGTTTTTGTTTTTTTAATGAAATTTACTAATGTATTGAGCCAGCACCATGGTGTACCAAGCTAATAACCTCCAGCTTTAAGCACCAGTATCCCGTGTGGGCCCCAGTTGTATCCCAGCTGCTCCACTTCCAACTCAGCCTCTTGCCTTCTGGCCTGGGAGGGCAGAGGAAGATGATCCAAAGCTTTGGGCTCCTGCACCCACATGGGAGACCCAGAAAGAGACTGTTGGCTCCTGGCTTCAGATGGGCTCAGTTCCGGTCACTGTAGCCATTTGGGGAGTGAACCAGTGAATGAAAGGTCTGTCTTTCCTCTGTACGTCTGCCTTTCAAATAAAAATAGCATGCTGTTTGATTTTTTGTCTTTGTATAAATAAATGGATTACCTAGTAGAGTAGTAAAAAAGTTGAACTTTACTTCAATCCATAGGATATCCCCATTTCTACCAAATATATTACTCCCAAAGAACTAGATGCTAAATCCATGTCAGACTGTGATCCAAGTGGGAACAGTGCTTGTGTGAGTGCCTGCCTGCTTGATGGCCTTTCATGCTGGAACCTAAAGTAACAGTTCCATCTGACCTTATTGCCCAGACTAAACTCTCAGTATTTATGTATTCAGATATGAGATTGGAACAGAGGCTCAGAAAATTACATTGAGCCTGTGTGTGATGAATCTTTTTCTTTTCACAAATGGTGATGGTGAGCTACTAGATTGCTCTTATAGTCTTAATAATGAGTTATAAGTGATAACTTCTAAAAATTAGAATTAACTTAAATGTTTATTGTAAACATTTATTAACCTCTGTACTTCAAGACCTGAATCTGAAATCTAGAATTGTGTTTATGGAAATGATGGTTATAAAAATTTCTTTAAATGCTTCTGTTGTTCAGCCTGTGATATTAATAAGCAAATATGTATTGATATGTTAAAAGGCTTCATATGACATTCCATATCGATTTTCTTTCTTTTAACACAGGGATACACCAACATCAGCTGGACCAAATTCCTTCAATAAAGGAAAACATGGATTTTCTGATAACCAGAAGCTATGGGAGAGAAATATAAAATCTCATCTTGGCAATGTCCATGACCAAGACAATTAAATGATGTGTTTTCCAATTGGGGCGTGGGTGGGTGTAAAGTTAAAAGGAACAGTTTCCTTTTTTAAAGAATGGTATAAGACTATCTTTGGAGCCGCTTTTTTTTTCTTTTTCATTTACTTTTTTTTTTTTTTTAAGATTGAGTGGTACACTAATAAAATGAGAGTTTGAAATTAGAGGTAATTTATGTTTTATACACAGATTTCAGACATTTGCTAATTTTGTAGTTTCATGTGATTAGTTTCCAAAGGTTACAGATAATAAAGAAATCAGAAATGGTACCTTTTTAAGAATTGCATATTTTTTTAGACACAACTATTAGTACATTAAGAGGGAAGCAAAACTTTATTGTCTATTTAAAACTGCAAGCAGTTTCTTCACTCCCTCATTACCTAAACTGTCAGGCTCCCAGGAACAGCCTTATAGAGAGAGGGAGTATTGTTTTGACAAAAAAAAGTTACTGAACTATTGACTGAAAGTAAATTTAGATAAAATTAGAGTATAGCTTTTTTTCTTTGTGGGCATTCATTTTGTTTTATGTCATTATAAACTAGGTATTGCATTGCTGTCAGTGGATACCGAGGCTTAGCTCTTTTAAAAAAATTTAATTTTTTTATGTAAACTATGGAGAAATTGCAATTGCCTACTTCTTCTGAATGGGTCTTGTTGTCTACCTTCATTAGTCCTCAGAGACCATTTGCTACCAAAGTAAATCAGTATTTTGAATGTGCTTCTCTTAGTTTCTGTTTATTAGCTAGTTCTTGTACGCATTTCCACCCTAACTTGAGGCAAATCAGAAGGAAGCTGTTTCTTTTAAAATACAAGCCACCACCAAAAATTTACGTGTACATATTGCTTAAGTATTTGGCTGTTTTTTATTTTTTAAAAGGTATAAACACCAAAAAAAAGTAACATTGTATAAAGATGAAAAATGAGAAGATGCACTTTCTGTAACTTTGTCTACACTCTTAAGTTACTAACTTGTGAAGTCATATTTGAATTAAACTCACTACAATTACATGAATTAGTTTAAGAATATACATATTGACCAGTGGCCTCTCAAAAGCACATTTTAGCTACTGAAATAGTGAGAAACTGCATCTTCATATTTTATGGAATCTTACCACATATACTGTTAGATTTGTGTATTGTAAGGTGTTTGTTTTGTATTTTTGTATTGCATATGACTTTTTCTTTTAATGCTGACAGTCAAACCCATTTTTAAAAACATAGTCACAAACACAAGAAAGAGTACAATGATTTCCTTGAAAACTAAAATTTAGAGGCAGCTTCAGACTTGTACTGGTGGTAACTGCTCACTAAGCTCTAATAGGGGATAACTCCGGAGAAGCAGCCTGTGTGTATTCCTAACACATTATTCACTTAAATTTATGTCTAGAATAAGCCCCAAGTAAAACAATGGAAATGTATATAGAACTATTAGTTCTTACATTTTATTATATCAAGATACATAAATTTAACTTACTTTAATGTAGGCAGAGTATCCATTTTTGTCCATTTAACTGTTGTTAAAATAACATCCCTCTCCTATACATTGATTTCTTGACCCAAATTGGAATACTTAACCTAAAGTCAAGATAGGAGAGAGGTGATTGAGATGAATGTCTTTACTAAAATACCAATAAATTTCTCAAACTCAGTAGTGTTCTTATTTTTCTATTCTACTTAATTGTTGCTTACTGACTTTTTGTTGGTTTCCAAAAAATGAGACAAATGTTAGGAGTGTTGCTATTGTGCAGATTATTGACAAAATAATGGGAGACTTAAATTCTTGCTTATTAGAATCTACTACCTAACCATCAACACAGGGTTCAATGTCGCACTTGAAGACTGAAACCAAACCCTCCATTTTCAAGAACTATTTGTCCTGTGGCTTTGAATATAAAGACCATGGGGGGTGTGGGAATCTAATTTCTAAACAAGGTTTTCTTAAGATGTTTGAAGGACACTGGCTACCCACACAAGTTCAATATTCCCATTTCCTCTGATCATGTTTTGATGTTTCTCATCTCACCATCTTTACAAGTTTGAGTTCTTGATGACGCAGTCTAAGACCACATGGATTAATTTTCCATCACACTGGCTTAGGACAGCCTCGCTCCCTTGGGATTAAAGCAGCCTTTTCCCTCAGCTTCTCTGACTGCTTGACAAGAATTCAATCAGGTGTCAACTTCCTCCACAGTCATTTGTTACTGCTGCTGAGCAAGTCATTCATATGAGAAAGGGTGAACAATATTTTAGAATTAATATTCACTTTTAGTTTAATTACAAATGCAACATAGACTTTGAAATATTTTCAAAGTATATCAAGGCTAAGAAGTATTGAATAAGCTATATCATTGATTTTTGGGGGGTGGGGATTTTTCAGCTTTTAAAAGAGGCGTTAGAGAAGTCTTCCATCTGCTGGATTACTGCAATGTATATGACACTCCCTACCCTAATAAGAGGCCCATATGGGCATGCATCCCTCTGAACGAGGTAATAATAAACTTTGAGTTAACTTAGGTTGGGGCCCGGCGCGGTGGCGCAAGTGGTTAAAGGTCCTCGTCTTGCCCGCCCGGGATCCCATATGGGCGCCGGTTCTAATCCCAGCAGCCCCGCTTCCCTTCCAGCTCCCTGCCTGTGGCCCGGGAAAGCAGTCGAGGACAGCCCAAAGCTTTGGGAACCTGCACCCACTTGTGGGAGACCCGGAAGAGGCTCCTGGCTTCGGACTGGCATAGTATCGGCCCGTTGCGCTCACTTGGGGAGTGAACCATTGGACGGAAGATCTTCCTCTCTGTCTCTCCTCTCTGTATATCCGCCTTTCCAATGTAAAAAAAATAATAAAAAAATAAATCTTTAAAAAAAAAAAAGAGTTAACTTAGGTTAAATTGTACAAGTTGAACATTCCTAATCCAAATATTTAAAATCCTACTTTTTTTTTTATTGCAAAGTCAGATACACAGTGAGTAGAAGAGACAGGAAGAGCTTCCATTTGATGATTCACTCCCCAAGCGGCCACAACAGCTGGAGCTGAGCCAATCTGAAGCCAAGAGCCAGGAGCTCTTCTGGGTCTCCCACATGGATGCAGGGTCCCAAAGCTTTGGGCTGTTCTCGACTGCTTTCCCAGGCCACAAGCAGGAAGCAGGACAGCCAGGATTAGAACCAGTGACCATATGGGATCCTGGCACATTCAAGGTGAGGACTTTAGTGGCTAGGCCATGGTGCGGGGCCCTAGGTTTTTTTTTTTTTTTTTTTTTTTAAGATATACTTCAGGCCCGGCGTGATGGTCTAGCCACTGAGGTCCTCACTTTGAACACGCCGGGATCCCATATGGGTGCCATACATGTAAGTGGATTTCATGTTTAGGCTTGGGTTCCATCCCCCAACATATCATTATTGGAATATCTCCAAATCAGGAACCTTAAATTCACAATATTCCTGATCTCAAGTATTTTTGAGATACGAATGTTCAACCTATCTATGGCATCAGCATAGATAGTGTTAGTTTATATGGTCGATCTCAAGTTCTTTTCTGATAAGTCTAACATCTCACAGGTGAACTCTGATGCTTGCTTCAATCCTTACCTATATTTTAGATAATAATACAGCAATTTTGAACACTAGTTTCCTATCCTAGTAGAGGGTGCTGCAGCTTATTACCTCAGCCCAACCAACCCCACTCTCCAGCGCACACATGCTGGCAGGTGCTACTGCCTGTCCAGCCAGGTCCACCCCCAGCCCTGATTCCCATGTTCACCAGTGGGAGCTGCAGCCCATCAGAGGGGTCTCCCTACTAGGCCCAATCCCAGCCCTGGATCCTGCACTTTTCAGGTGGTTTTGCAGTCTAGCTTGACAGGACTTGCCCCCATTCTCAGCACTTGCCAGCTGATGCTGGGGTAAAGACCAACCATCCTGCACTTTGTTTCATGCATGTGCCAATGGATACAGTCGTATCCCAGCCTAGCTCTCCCCTCTAAACCAACTCACATGCAGGCCAATATGTATGTAGCTCTGCCTGGCTGCCCCCAGAACTGACCCACATATATGCTGCTGGGTACTGTAACCTGGCATGGTCTGGGTTGCTACCAGCCTTAGTCCTTGCGCTCACCTGCTGGTACTGGCCTGACAGGAGTTTCCCAAGCTCCTCTATCAGGTTACCTCACAGTGGCAGATCCCGTGCCCACAGTGGGTTCTTGCCCCAGCCCAGCTTGGACTACCTCCTGTCCCGGCATGAACAACGTCTTTGCCTGACTGGCCCACACTCATTCTGGCTCTTACTGTTGGGTGCTATAGCCCAGCCACACCTGGTCCACATCCAGACACAGCTCTTCGTGGTTCAGCAGTTGTGGAGATCTAGAACAGCATGTTCTATACTTTCCCTGGCTCTTGTGAGCACCAGCAGGTGTTGGAGTTTAGCCTAGGCTGGCACATCGCATTCCCAGTCTACATCCATGTCAAGGTATACTGCAGCCATGCCCACCCCAGATCACCGCCCCCATTCCAGCTCTTGCATTCACCAGTGGGAACAAACACTCAGCTAGGGCGTCCCCTTAGCTCCCCAACCAGGCTGGCTCCCAGCCACAGATCTTGCATGTGCCAGTAGCTACTACAATACAGCTCAGCAAATCCCATCCCCATCTTGGCCTCTGCCATTGGATGCTCCAGCCTGGACTGCCCTGGAGGCACCCCCCTACCCAAAACACACAAACAGTCCCAACTCCTGCTAATGAGTTGCTGTAGCCTAGGCCTGCCCAGTCTTCCCCTATCCCTGGCTTTCATGTTAACCAGCAGGTTGAAAGCCTATTCCAGCGGGCCCACAGTCCGGCATGGCCACTGCACATACCAGTGTGCTAACGTTTGGCCCAGCCCTGCCTGACCCACTCCCTGCCCCAGAACCAACCTACACACTTGCCAATGAATGCCTTACCCATCCTGACCAACACGCAGCACTGACTCATGTGTTCACCAGCGGGAGCTATAAGCCCGCTAAGGAAGTTCCCCAAGTTCCCCCAACCAGGCCCTCTCAGACCCAGATCTCATGTGTGGGTGGGTGCTAGGCCCTTACTGGACATACACTGCCTCTCTATTTCAGCCTTTGTGTGAGCTGGTACTGTTCTGTCCTGCTCCGCCCCACACCCTATTCTTAGGTGTTCCTATGGGTGCTACACCTGGACCAGCCTGGCCTGTTCCAAACCCCAGTACCCAGGAGTGTTGAGGGGCATCATTGGTCATGCCTAGCTCAGCCTGTCAACCACCCCAGCTCTTCAGCAAACCAATGGATATTGCAGTTCTATAAGGTCAAGCCCACATATCCCCCACAGAATCTTCCCCCAGACCTGGTTCTCTCACGTGCTGGTTAGTGTCATAGTCCAGCCTAACCTGTCCTCAACACTCACTGGTGGGTACTATGATCCAGCCCTGCCAGATAGGCCCCAGCCCTAGCTTTAGTGTGCCCCAGTGGGTGGTAGTCAGTAGTGGTCAAGCGAACTAACCTAGTTCAGGGGTCCCATGTGGGCTGGTGCTTGATCTGAGCAAGAAAGGTCTTTCAGCTTCCCTCCTCCAATTCATTCAGTCTCTTACCCCTAGCATACCTGAAAGTGCAATGGTCTTGCTGATGGAAGTCCAAGAAGTCATTCCTCACCTGCAACATACTCCCTCAGCGATCCTTTCTCCCACACACATCCCCATACCTCCTTTCCTCAGCAATGCAGTCTGAGACCAGGAATCTATGGGTTTCCAGTGATGTGGTGTGCTGGCCTAGAGCTTTGCCTGCCCACTTAGGACCCAACCTCCTGGCTTGTGTGCTGGCCTGGAACACTACCCATCCAAAATCCAAGCACATTCAGTTCCCCAGGCCTGAGTTCCTCAGTTTCCACCAACACACCAGGTCAGCATGCTAACCTAGGGTTCCCCCTCTCACATGAAGATCCAGCACATGGAGAATTCCCCAGAGTTGCTTTGTCTGGCCCCAAACTCTCAAGTCTCCACACTACCCCACCAGTGCCATCTCAGCCCTGCCTGTGGTGGAAGCAGCAGCCCATTACTTATTTAAAAAAAAAAAAAAAAAAAAAAGTTAAATCCCCCAGGGTCTCTGGCCAGAGCCAAGTCTAGCTGAAGCCAGGAGCCAGAAGCCGCCTCAACTCTCCCATGTGGGTGTAGGGTCCGAGGGACTTGGTTCATCCTCTGCTACTTTTCCAGACCACAAGCAAGGAGCTGGATGTGAAGTGAAGCAATTGGTACATGAACAGGTGCCCATTTGAGACCCAAATACATAGAGGTATCTGGTTAGCCAACTGAGCTATCACACAGGGGCCCACTTTGTGTTGTTATTAAACACTATTAATTGCTAGCCAACTGCTTGGGAATGAATAAATGGCTTTACAAACTGCTCCAGTCACTCCTCCACACAAATAATTTCTTAATTAATTACTTTATTTATTTATTGGAAAGTAAGATATACAGAGAGGAGCAGAGACAGAGAGGAAGATCTTCCATCTGATGATTCACTCCCCAAGTGAGCACAACGGCCGGTACTGTGCCAATCCGAAGCCAGGATCCAGGAACCTCCTCTAGGTCTTCCACGCCAGTGTACGGTCCCAAGTCTTGGGCCGTCTTTGACTGCTTTCCCAGGCCACAAGCAGGGAACTGGATGGAAAGTGGGGCCTCCGGGATTAGAACCAGCGCCCATATAGGATCCTGGCGCGTTCAAGGTGAGGACTTTAGCTGCTAGGCCATGCCGCCGGGCCCACTTCATTGACATTTCAATTTTAGTTTATGCACAACCAGCTGCTATACACCTTAAAGTGGCAATAGGGTACTATTCAGCTGTCTCATGTCTATTTTCATTTTAGTATTTAGCAGTTTATAGCGTTGCAGCATGATTTTTACTAAACTTGGCAGATTTTAGGATAGTCTAAACTGGCTTAGAACTCTAACAAGGCATTTGTCAACTGTTGAGGTGCAGAACAGTTTTAGGAGGGGTGTGCAGAGAAATTTTCAATACCTTAGTGAGGAGTAACTAATCTCCGTGTCCTGCCTAGTAAAGTATATGTGAGTTCACGCTGACCGTTTCCTGTCTGTTCTAAGCTTTCCTTGTTGTTCTCCGTCTATCTATTCTAATTTTTCCTTGTTGCTTTTAGGGGGAAGGGGGTCTCCGGAGTAACCCTGATGGTCAGTGCCAGAGAGGATGGGGATCCAAAGTTGGAACTAAGTAAGGACCAGAAAAGGCTCCTCTCCCTAGTCCCGAAGGAAGTTTACTGTTCTTCTGTTTCTGCGGACCGCTTAGGGCTCCTGGCCCAACAAGTCGTTTTCTAAGCTAAGTACATGCTGGAAGGGCAGCCACCACTGAGGCCCTTCATGTTTGTATTTCCAGATTTGGAACCACCATTTCTTGAATGGACAAAAGTGTTCAGGACCTAGGATGTCTCGCTCAGCACAATAGTCCAAGGCCTAACCTGTATTCTACAGGAATACTGCTCTGAATCTTGGCTGCTCTGCTTTCAAACCAGCTACCTGTTAAAATTTTAGGAAAGCATCAAAAGATGGCCCAAAACCAGACTCTCGCTGCACCTGTGGGAGACCTGACCTGATTTTAGGGTTCCTGGCTTCAGTCTGGGCCAGTTCTGAACATGTGGCCATTCGGCAAGTGAATCAGCAGTTGGAAGATCTTTCTCTGCTTACTCTCTTTCAAGTAGATAATATCCAATCTTTTAGAAAAATTTACAAATCCCATTGACTCAGAAATTCCAGAAATTATGTTCCCAAGATAAATAATGCACATTGCAAAAGATAATGAGGCTAGGCCTGGCGGCGTGGCCTAGCAGCTAAAGTCCTCATCTTGAACACACAGGGATCCCATATGGGCGCTGGTTCTAATCCCAGCAGTTCCATTTCCCATCCAGCTCCCTGCTTGTGGCCTGGGAAAACAGTCGAGGACGACCCAAAGCTTTGGGACCCTGCACCCTTGTGGGAGACCCAGAAAGAAGTTCCTGGATCCTGGCTTTGGATTGGCTCAGCTCTGGCCGTTGCAGCCACTTGGGGAGTGAACCATCAGAGGGAAGATCTTCCTCTCTGTCTCTCCTCCTGTCTATCTGTCTTTCCAATAAAAAAAAAAAAATCTTGAAAAAAAAAGTTGGGGTCAACATTGTGGTTTAAAGGCAGCGTGTCTGGCATGGTAGCCTAGTGGCTAAAGGCATTGTTAAAACCACTGCCTGCAATGCTGATATTCCACACAGACAATGTTTCAGTCCTGATACGCCACTTCCAATCCAGTTCCCTGGTAATGCACCCTGTAAAGCAGCAGAGGGGGCACGGTGGGCGGCTAAAGTCCTCGCCCTGAATGCACCTGGATCGCATGTAGGTGTTAGTTCTAATCCTGGCAGAGCTGCTTCCCATCCAGCTCCCTGCTTGTGTCCTGCGAAAGCAGCTGAGGGCTCCCGAAGCCCTGGGATCCTGCACTTGTGTGGGAGATATGGAAGAAGTTCCTGGCTTCAGATTGCCTCAATTCCAGCTGTTGCAGCCGCTTAGACACAGATCTTCCTCTCTGTCTCTCCTCCTCTCCATATATCTGCCTTTCCAATAAAAAAATCCCAATATTTTAAAGCAGAGAAGAGAGATTTTTACCCTAAATGACTGGGGCCTGAGGCTGGGCCAAATCAAAGCAAATCTGCAACTACCTGAAGTTCTCCACATGGGTGCCAATGAGCCTTCCGTTGCTTCCCCAGATGGCTTAGTAAGCAGCTGAGTTGGAAGTGGGACACCCAGGAGTCAAGCCATTGCCCATACAGGATGCAAGTATTGCAGGCTAGTGTATTTTGTTACCCAATAGTTGTTTTTTAATGTGCAGTTCCCTTTCCCTTAAACTTATTAAACATCCAATGAGTGATTTATGAACTGAAAATAGTGAGAAGCCCAACTTCAAAATTTAGACTTTTAAACAAGATTCAACATCTTTTATTTACATATTTATGACATACATTAATGATCTTACACAACTAAATCTAACAACAGTAAGAATGAAACATAAAAGACACAATTCCAAATTTTTATCAGATGGAAATACTTTTTCACTAAATGAAAAGATACACACTAAATGAGCAGCCATTATCAAGTTATGGGCTGTATGTCAATTCACTTGTTAAAATTGAAAGCCACACAGCTACTAAACAATTGGAAATTTGCAAATGCAAATATTACACACAGATATAATGCATGCATGACTATCACATTTATTCTTCATCCTTAAAGCCATTTTTAGAGTAAACTGGAATAAGCATCTTAACATATGTACATCAAGGCACATTCTGTACTTGTGCTTTAGGAATGATTTACATACGACCTGCTTGTATCTTAATTTTACACTTTATAGCTTCTAAAAACTAAGAGCTGATTTTTCACAATTATAGCTTGAATAATAGTTTCATACAGAGAAATGTGGCATCTCCTCCTGGTTATTTGGAAAACCAGAAGTGTGGACAGCTTAAAGGGGTGGGAACTTAAAAAAAAAATCAAACACATGAAATAATATAATTTAGTTTCCAGATAACTTACAAATAATTTATACTTTCAACAATTTGGTGAAATCATTATCAATTTATTCAAGTAATATATTATAGTGAGCACTGCATTAAATAATATTCTAAAGTATTTGGCAATTATATAGTATCCACAGGGCCACTGTAATTCTATTTCTCAACTGAAGTTTTCCAACAAAATTAAACAAACATGATACAACAGCTGAAAATACAGTAAACCTAACTTGCTCATTCTTTAATAACAGAATAACACCTTCCTTTTTTTGCCTTTCACTTATTTTCCTATTTTACCAGGAACATTTTCCATGAATAATGTTTACTAGTGATGTTCTTCCCTCATGGTCAGTTAATTGCCTTGAAGAGAAAGCAGAGTAAGGCTTCAACAGGCATTTCATGCATTTTAATGGCATATTAAAAATTAGCTATCCTTTTATGGGTTTCCCATAAAGATAAGTATATTGTGCAAACTTGATTACAACATGTAACTCATTAAGTGCTTTCAAAACAAAATAAACAATCCCTGACTTAAGAGGGGTTAAAAATAAATAATAAGCCAAAAATTACAATCTAAAGCATTTTTAAAAATCCTATTATATCTATAAATCTAATGAAATGTTTTATATTAGAATTTTCTTTTTAATTCACAAACAGGGTAAAATCACAGAACCTCTACATTTTGAGAAGAAAAAAAAAAAAACACAACAAATGGTCTAACCTTTAAACTCAAAATATATAATGAAACAATGCTGAAATGTAAATGAAACTGTACAGCCTTAAATTTAGTACATTTATAACCATTTATGCATAAAAGGAATACTATGACAAATCACTGCCATTACGTAGATTTGTTTTCAATTTCTTCACAGAAAACAAACTTTCTAAAGATTTCACTGCACAAATTGTTCAGAAATATCACATCACCAAGCCCAGAGTCTTGACACAGGAACTCTAAGCAGACAGTTGCATGGTATTGTAAACAAATCTTCTGTGAGTTTAGTATACATGAGATATCTGTCACTCTTTTTCATTTTCATAACTACATTCATTCTGCTTCTGATATATGTGCCACTTCTACTTCAACAGTTTGAATAGCTTCTGCAACTTCCGACAGCTTCTGTCCCTGCTGCTGTGCCAATACATAATTAACTACTTGCATAATACTTTGGTCAGAAAGTGTAGATACCGATGGGCACTCTTCAGTGGCCGCAACTGCTTCCAGAGCTTCCACTGTTTCTCCTGTCACCACTACAGTCTCAAGTTCCTGAGGAGCACTAATTTCTTGTTCCTGCATGTCTGTGGTTACAATACTAACAGCATGCTCCACTTGAGTTCCTTGATTATGAAACTGAAGGGTATCTTTTTCCAGCATAATTTTGCAAGGCACATAGTCTCTGTGGAACTTCGTCATATGTTTACGAAGTGTTCGAGCATCTATGTAGGCTTCACTACACACCGGACAGACATAGGGCCGTTCACCAGTATGTGTTCTGACGTGGCGTTTTAGAGATCGGGCATCAGCCCAAGCTACTCCACATGTTAAGCACTCAAATGGTTTAACGCCTAAAAAAAAAAAAATACAGAACAAAACAAAAAATTTGGGATATGTGGGTGTGATGAGGTACAAATACCAAAATACTTAACATATATATATATATATATATATTTTTTTTTTTTTTTTTTAAAGTACAGTAACCATAGCCATTCTGTTTTCACTATGGCAATCTCTCATTTAGGAACATGAACTGTCCTTACAAAAAAACAGCACCGCATTTTCTAGGAAGATGTCTCCACCGATAGAAGTTAATGAACTGACAGAAACTTGAGTTTGTGTGTACAATATCTGTTTCATGACAGCTACCCTATAATCCTAAGATAAGCAGAGACTTCATACAATTTAACTTAAAAATGCTGATACAAAATTATGTTCACTGAAAGCAATCTGTATAAATAACTAAGTGCTTGGCTCAATATCAGCTCTGTCACTTGAATAAGTCTTTCAAGATATGGCATTAATCTCTTATTGAGGAAAGCAACATAATAGCCAACAGGACTGATTCAGGAAAAAACATCACTACCGGACTGGTTTTATTGTTCATGAGATACACAAGATAACAAGCACGGTTACCTTCGTGGTTGTTCATGTGTCTCCTGTACTCTCTCAGCTGAGTGAATTTTTTCCCACATTGTTCACACACCCGTTCCAGATTTTGCTTTGCTCTTCCTTTTTTTCCATGAGTAGCTTTCTTTACATGCCTTCTAAATAACGCTTTTTCATAAAACTCTTTGCCACATATATTACACCTAAAACAGGAGAAAAGACGTAAATTTTGTTTTCTAAACCAATTCTTGATATAAGATTGGCTGAAGTAGTGGGTGTGAGTATGTGCATGCATCTCAATATGTATTTCAATTTTTTATGCTTAGCTCTTTCTCAAATTTACTCACCTATAAGGCTCAGTGACAGAATGAGACTTCACGTGGGAATACCAATCTTTTTTCCAACTATAGCACTTATCACAAAATTGGCACTGGAATGGTTTCACACCAAGGTGCTTATTCATGTGCTGACGAAGATCTCTGGCTTCAAAGAAACTTTTCTCACATCTGCAATGCAGTTCAGTAAAGTGGATCATCTTTTTCCTTTAAAACAAATTGCTAAGGACACAGTATATTTGTATGGTTCCTAGACCCACCTGCTGATCAAATTAAAACAAAAAAAGCTTTCCCTGTCATCCCAATCTTGCATCAAGGTTGCAGGATTTTAATTTCTATTAACTCTACAGCGCTAAAATGATTCATAAAAACCAAGCAAAGTTCCACAGAGGGAATTTGCTGCCCATCTCTCTTCCTCTAGCATTTGCCTCTCCTCTCTTTACATACTGTTCATGCATCAAGGCTGTAAATTTACACAATTTCCAATCACTGCTGTTAGTTTCTTTGTCCATGCAGAGAGAAAGCAAACACAGATGGGCTGGAATCCAATTTACATTACACCGCACAGACATTTAGACCTTCCCTTTCATTCAAGGAAATTTTGATTTGGTTTCTTTCTCTTTAACTAAAAAATAAACAACAACAACAAAAACCCAAAGCTAAAACAAAACAAATGACAAAAAAACAAAAAACAAAAGTACTAGTGGATAATTTCTCCAGCTATAGGCAATTGCTTAGGCTGCCTTGTACCTAGGCAAGTGTTACCCTATTAAGGAGAAAGGCACCCAATAGCTGGAAGGCATTCTGGGCTTGGTTAATGCCAAACTTGTGTTATCTATACTGCTTATTATTCTTTTCCTCTCTTTTTCCTTTTTAAAGATATTAGGAGGTGAGGGGGGATATGCTATAGATTTTCAAGCGAAGGGGTCTGGGGACATGTTGGGAATGGGAGCAGCCTGGGGCATGTTTGACAGGAAACAAATGATTTCTGGGGTCTTCCATGGACCAGATCACTCACAGGAAGGCAAGGAAACCAGGTAGAGTGGGGAACTGTAAGAAAGTAACCAAAATTTACAGTTACCAGGCAAATGTATAATCAAGAAAAAGATGTTCGGGATAACACAAAGGCTCAACTGGCTAATCCTTCATTTCTAAGTACGGCCTACCACACGGCTGCCAGTTTGTGTCCCTGCTGCTCTGCCTCCCACCCAGTCCCCTCACTGCGGCCTGGGAAAACAGTGAACAGCCCAATCCTTGGGCCGCTGAGCCCATGTGGGAGACCCAGAAGCAGCTCTTGGCTCCTGGCTTCAGATCAGCTCAGCTCTAGCCATTGTGGCCACCTGAGGAGTGCACTACACAGTGGATGGAAAAAAACTTTTTTTTTCTGTCGCTCCTTCTCTTTGTAAATCAGTCTTTCCACTTAAGATAAACAAATAAAATTGTTTTGTTCAATCTCTGGAAGGCAGTTTCATGCTATTTTAAAGTTGTCCTGGCATATAGCCTGCATTTCCCATACTGATTCCTGGCACTGAAAAAACTTTTTGCCTATTCTGCCTTATGTCATGACTCTGTGAAGGAGCCACTTTTTATCTTCATTTCTTCTGTCTTAGGGCTGAGGATTATGGGTAGTGACTTGGCTGAAAAGATTTAGAGGAAAATGTAATTAATTAACCATAGCCATCTGGAGCCAGGAGTTATAGCTCTGCAAATAATGTACCTTAGTAAGCTGACAAAAATCATGAGTTAACTTAAATTAGAGGTTAATATTAAGTTTTTTTTTTTTTTTTTTTGAAAAAAGGTTTTAAATGAACAGAACACAATGAGATCATTTGAATCACTTACACATTAAATACTTACTGGGTACAATGATATCCTCGAACTTCAGGCTTCGGCTGATGTTTCTTTAAGTGTTTGCTGAGTCCAGAGCCCCTGTGAAAAGACTTTCCACAGACTGCGCAAAGGTACTTGGATTCACCTATAAAAATGAAAAAATAAGCTCATGCCAAAAGAGTAAGTACTATACCTTCTGATATAAGGCAACCTTCATGAAAAATACAAGATCAATAGATATATAGGTAAACACGTGTATAAATATATATCGATCTACTAATGCATCTATATAATGGAGACTGGAATACTGAGAAGTGATGATACACTACAATATGCATCTCTACTCCTGAATAAAAAGGAGTACTCCCAAAGAAACTGCTAATTATACCTTGACAGTAAGATACCAGACTTTCTACCACCGCCTATATACCGACAATGCTATGATACACTTAAACAGCATAGTGTTAGGCTTGCAACTGTCGCTGACAGACTATGTACTACTAGAATAATATGGAGGAAAACCATTGGGAGGAGAGAGGAGCAATGCAAGGCAGAGCAGGGAAACCCTATACCTATAAAGCTATACTATGGAAAATAATAACATGATACAAAAAAGCAAAAAAAAAAAACCCCAACAACAACAAGCATTTCTTTGGATTCCTGGATCTCAACTATACATAATTTAGAAACAATATTCTTATGCATGTAAATTAAGACTTTGGTTTCACTGATAAAAAAGTTGTACACATGGTATGTCATTATAACAAATATAACAACATAATTTGATAATTACAGCACAATCAGTAGCAAATTAATAACGTATAAAATATACCACAGCAGGTTGTCGACAGATAACAATGTACTGCACTGCGCATTTTCTTAAAAAAAAGTCAGAAGCATTGAATTTCGCAATAAAGATCTAAGGAGGCAGATCTGTTTATTCTGATTTGAATATTACATGATGTGCACATGCATGAAAATGCCAAAGGTGCCCTATAACTATTAATTTTTATGTATCATTTTACAAAAGTAACTGTCGATAAAAACTGCTCATTACCTGTGTGAATACTCTTATGTTCTTGAAGACTCCGTTTGGTAACGAATGATTTAACACAAAGTTCACACTGGAACTGCTTTTGGGTCTGATGTAGACTCTGGTGTAACTTCAGACCATGCTTGTAGATAAAACTCTTTCCACAGACCTAAGGTAGGGATGTTTAAATCAGAAAAACAAAACAAGCACAAATGTTGTTCTTGAAGCATGAAGATAGAGAAGTTAGTGTACTGAGCATTTAAGCTAATTATACAATTTAAATAAAATGACAGAGTAAAAATCAAAACCACAACTGGCAAGGATATTATCCAGCTAACCACTGCTCTGACTCAGTACATATTGTTGGATCATTAAATCCACACTATCACCAGCGCAACTCAAAACAGTGTACCTCTGTATTAAAGATGTAGCAACTCAATCAAGAGCAAAATAATGATTCTCTTTATATCAAACAGAACAATGCTTTCCAAAACTGTGATGAAGAATCAATCATATTCTCTTTCCCCAATCTAGTAGGGAAATTTTTAATAATCACAAGTAACGTGTCAGGCATGTCAAATTCCTGGGTTTCTTTCTAAATGTCTTCCCTTTCCATGAAACACACATTTCCTCTTACTTTTACTTATTTGAAAAAAAGGAGATGGGGGAGGGAAAGGGGAAGGAGGTAGAGGAAGAGAGAAAAGAGAAATTGTGAGAAATAGATGGATGATTCGACGTCCCATGAGTTCTCTCCCCCAAAGCCTGCAATAGCCAGGGGTGGGCCGGCCAGGCTACATCCAGGATCCCTGAACTTAATCTGGGCCTTCTCTGTGGGCAACAGGTGATAGCAAGCATGTAAGCTATCACCTGCTGCTCCTAGGAAGTATTGGCAAGCAGCTGGAACCAGAAGCAGAGGCAGACCCCAAGAAACAGGCATCACACAGGCCTCGTCACTGGTGTTCAAAATGCTTGCCCCCTGACTGTACATTTTGGGTGATACATAATGTAACGCTTGAAGTTTAACTTATCAATAAAACAATGTTTACGATTGGACAACAGAATAATTGGGGAAGGGACCAAGCTGTGAATTCGAACATATAGCTAAAACACATTTGACAAAAAGCTCGCAACTACTGAAGTAGGATGAAAAGTACACAAAGGTTTATCCTATTCTCTTATATTCTGTTCTCAAACAAGTTTCACAGACACCCAAAACAGATTTCTCTCAAATAACAGCAGCAAATTAGATATAAGAGGGAATCAACTGTGATCTAGGCAAGAAACTTAGAAGAGTCATAAATCTCCTTGGCAATTCACAAGTTTGAAGGTGACCCCAGAGTACATATAACCAAGTTTCATCACCATTATTCAGTCCCAATTTCCCTTAAACAACTAAATAGTATGGCTGTTTAAAAAAAAATACTTATAGCTATAGGGAGAATGAGTACTCCCAACGACAGGTTCCCATTCCAAATACCACACTGACCAGCACCTTACCTGGCACGCATGTGGCTTTACACCTGTGTGCTTTAACATGTGTATTCGAAGTGAATATAACTTAGGCAATGTCCTTCCACAAATGGAACATATAAATTCTCGTTTTGTTCTGCCCTTCTCAGATGATGATCCCGATGACTCATTAGATGCAGAATTGGAAGAGGACGAAGAGGGTGCATCTTTTCTGGTATGTCGGATAAGGTGTGCGCGCAAGGAGGCACTATATTGGAACTGCTTTTTACACAACTGGAAGAAAGAGGACATAAAATGTCTCACGCACATTTCCATCACACTGTTTTGTGAAACTTAACTCATACTTCCACTTGGCATCTCAACGTAACATCAAATCAAAAAACAAATGTAAATTATTTAGCATTTACTTTGACATTAGGTCACTTTGCATGTTTACATTAAGGTGTAAATGTTACTGACGCTAAGACACATGGCAAGCACTATAATACTTCTTCCGTAAAGATTGATTTAATTAAAAAAAAAAAAAAGATTTATTTTTATTGGAAAGGCATATCTGCAAAGGAGGAGAGACAGATTTTCTGTTTGCTGATTCACTCCCCAAGTGTCCAGAGCTGAGCTGATCCAAAGCCAGGCGCTTCTTCTGGGTCTCACATGTAGGTGCAGGGTCCCGATTTTGGGCCATCCTGTATTGCTTTGCCAGGCCACAAGCAGGGAGCTGGATGGGAAGTGGAGCAACTGACACACAAACTGGCACCCACTGAAATCCGGTGCATGCAGGGGAGGATTTAGTCACTGAGCTATCATGCCAGGCCCTGTACTATAATTCTTTGTTTTCTTGCTGTTTTATGTTCTGCTTTCTTCTCTTTGTATTTTACTACTAATTCATCACCAGCCCTTCTCCTGATTGTCCACAGAGATTCCAAATCCTGTTGCAACCCGAACAGGCTGTTTCCTCTGTGTGGCACACAGCTGCATCATGGGATCTTCCTCCACTACTGTATTGATGAACCCCTTGGGCTCAGGGTAAACTGCATGTCATACTTCCTGTTTCCTCATGCCTTGCTCATATTTTAGTACAAGATGCCTGCCAATAATCAAACTGACACTTTTGAGTTATTATATATTTATTTACTTATTTTTGAAGACTATTTTTTATTGGAAAGGCAGATCATATTTAACAGAGAGGAGAGAAAGGCACACCATTTGCAGGTTCAATTTCCAAATGGCCCAGTCGGAGCTGAACGGACCTGAAGCTGTGAGTCAGGAACTTAAGAGGGTCTCACATGCAGGTGCAGGGTCCAAGACTTGGGTCATCCCCTGTTGCTTTTCTAGGCCATAAGCAGAGACCTAGATGAGAAATGAGCAACCATGGGCCCAGCACGGTAGCTTAGCAGCTGCCTTGCACATGCTGGGATCCCATATGGGCACTGGTTCTTATCCCGGCTGTTGCACTTCCCTTCCAGCTCCCTGCTTGTGGCCTGGGAAAGCAGTTGAGGGGAGCCCAAAGCCTTGGAACCCTGCACCCACATGCGAAGACTTGGAAGAGGCTCCTAGCTCCTGGCTTCAGATTGATGCAGCTCCTGCTGTTCAGGTCACTTAGGAAGTAAATCAACATATGAAGATCTTCCTCTGTCTTTCCTTCCCTCTGTATATCTGATTTTCCAATACAAATAAATCTTCAAAACAACAAAAACAAAACACAAAAAGAAATGAGCACCCAAGACATGACCCAGTTTCAGTGTCTTAAACACTATATGGGTACTGGTTCATGCCCTAGCTGCTCCATGTCCAAATGCAGCTCCCTGTTAATGACCTGGGAAAGCAGCAGCACATGCACCACGTGCTGGGGCCTTTGTCACCCAGCTCGGGAGACCTCGATGAAGCTTCTGGTTTGGTCTAGCCTAGCCCTGGCCATCATACGAATCTGGGGAGTGAACGAGCAGATGGAAGATTCTTTCGTATTCTTCCTTTCTGTAACTTTCAAATAAATAAATACTTATTTGAAAACAAAAATTAAAGCCCCTGATGTCACATTTTTTTTTTCCGTTGTCTCTGAACCTGAAATTTTATAACACAGAAAAGCAGAGAGAAATACATACAGATTTTCTCCATCTGTTGACTTACCCCTCAGAGGGCCACAGTGGCGGGGGACGAGCCAGGCCAAAGCTACAAGACTGGGGCTGCATCAGGTTCTCCCACAAGAGTAGCAGGAGCCCAAGTGTTTGTTCCACCTTCAGCCACCTTCCTAAGAACATCTGCAAAACGCTGATCAAAAGCGGAGCAGCCAGAATCCAACCTGAGCTACGCAGGGCTAGCCTGCTGAGCCCCATACACAGGCCCCTCCCTGCCAGCGAAACTTTCAATATTTCAGTTTTGAAAATTTTCTTTGACAATTTTATAAGTAATTTCTTTTTTTCTACATTATCTCAAAACATTAGTGAAATACTATGCATTTTAGACCAATCTTGTATCTTTCACTCTCATTTTCCATTTTTTTTTTTTGTCTCTGCTTTCTGTAAGCATTAGCGAATTAGATTTTTCAACTCCTCTGAGAATTTGATATGTATATGTTGCTACATACAGATATTCCTTGACTAATGATGTGTTCATATCCTGGTAAATTGACCCAAGTAAAACATATCCTAAAACAGGGCCTGACAAAATGGTTCAATGGCTAAAGCCTCGCCTTGCAAGGAACAGGATCCCATAGGGGTGCCAGTTTGTATTGACTGCTCCACTTCCCATCTATCTCTCTGCCTGTGGCCTGGAAAAGCAGGCCCAAAGCCTTGGGATCCTGCACCTATATAGGAGACCTGGAGGAAGCTCTTGGCTCCTCGCTTCAGACTGGCTCAGCTTTGGCCATGGCAGACACTTGGGGAGTGAACCAGTGAGCGGAAGATCTTTCTGTCTCTCTCTCTATAAATTTGCCTTTCTAATAAAAACAAAAAGCAAAAAACAAACCAAAACAAACAAACAAAAAAAACCTACGTAAAAAATTTAGTTAATACCCTGACAAACCCATCTTAATGGAATACCTACATGTGGAGCCTTTATCAATGAGGTACCATCTGTATTTTATTTCCTAAAAGGCTCTTCTATTCAGTCAAGCTGCCTGCCCCTTTTAACCAGAGCACACTGGTCACTCCTTACCGAGGTGATTGGTTCCAGGACCACTGTAGATAACAAAATGTACCAAGGTGCAAGTTCTTTAAAACAGTGTGGCATTTCCATATAACCCATGTATATTTTTGTTGCACACTTAAAAAACATCACTAGATTACCTACAATGCTTATAACAATGCAAATGCTATGTATATAGCTCTTAATATTACATCATTTAGGGAAAGACATGACATATGAATATGTTTAATACAGATGCAACTGTTAAAAAAAGTAATTTATCTGGGACTGGTATGGTAGCCTAGCGGCTAAAGTCCTTGCCTTGAATGTGCCAGGATCCCATATGGGTGCCATTTCTAATCCTGGAGACCCCATTTCCTATATAGTTCCCTGCTTGTGGCCTGGGAAAGAAGTTGAGGAAAGCCCAAAGCCGTGGAACCCTGCACCTGCATGGGAGACCTGGAGAAGTTTCTGGCTTCGGATTGCTCAGGTCCGGCTGTTGTGGCAATTTGGAAAATTAATAATCGGACGAAGCTCTTCCTCCCTATCTCTCCTTCTCTCTGTATATCTGAGTTTACAATAAAAATAAATGTTAAAAAAACTTTATCTGAAGTTGACTGACTCTGCAAATGCTGAACTGAAGCATAAAAGGATATGAAGAGCAAACTGTATCAGATTACTTTTTACAGAAACAACTTTTTCATTTATTTATGTAAACCGTACTTTGTGAGTTCAGTTTGCTTTCTCTATAGCCCTAGATTGCTCAATTACTTTTTCCTTGAAATTTCTTGATATGAATATGATGATCTTGGATGTCTGTTTATACTTCAAAATCAGATATTAAAAAATGAACTGGTGGGCTCGGTGCAATGGCAATAGTGGTTAAGGTCCTCGCCTTGCACACCCAGGTTCTCATATTGGCACCGGTTCTAATCCTGGCAGCCCCGCTTCCCTTCCAGCTCCCTGCCTGCGGCCTCGGAAAGCAGTTGAGGACGGCCCAAAGCTTTGGGACCCTGTACCCGTGTGGGAGACCCGGAAGAGGCTCCTGGCTTCAGATTGGCTCAGCTCCAGCCGTTGCGGCTACTTGGGGAGTGAATCATCAGATGGAAGATCTTCCTCTCTGTCTCTCCTCTCTGTATATCCGCCTTTCTAATAAAAATGAAATAAATCTTGGAAAAAAAAAAAAAAAAAAAAGAACTGGGGGCCCGGTGGCGTAGTGGCTAAAGTCCTCGCCTTGAACACACCAGGATCACATACGGGTGCCGGTTCTAATCCCAGCAGCTCCACTTCCCATCCAGCTCCCTGCTTGTGGCCTGGGAAAGCAGTAGAGGACAGCCCAATGCTTTGGGATCCTTCACCCATGTGGGAGACTTGAAAGAAATTCCTGGCTCCTGGCTTCAAATCGGCATAGCACCGGCCATTGCGCTCACTTGGGGAGTGAATCATTGAATGCAAGATCTTCCTCTCTGTCTCTCCTCCTCTCTGTATATGTAACTTTGCAATAAAAAGAAATAAATCTTTAAAAAAACAAAATAAAACAAACCGGAATTTCCATGGAGAAGTTTCTGTATGGGGGCTCTCAGCCTCGAGTTTTAGACAGCAACATCTTTAGGTCCTTTGCTATTGGATATCAGATTTCCCATCTCTGGAAAAATTTTTCTGCTTGAGGGTTAAGAATCTGAATAATAAGATCTTGGGACTTGACAGTAAGAATAGAGAACATGAGGGCCTGGGACAGTAGCCTAGTGGCTGAAGTCTTCTCCTTGCATGCACTGAGATCCCGTATGAGTGCCAGTTTGTATCCTGGCTGCTCCACTTCCCACTGAGCTGCTTGTGGCCTGGGAGAGTAGTCAAGGATAGCCTAAAGCCTTGGGACCCTGCATGCCATGGGAGACCCGGAAGAAGCTCCTTTGTTTGGAGCGGTTCAGCGCTGATCATTGTGGCCACTCTGGGAGTAAACCAGCAGGTGGAAGATATTTCTGTTTCTCCTTTTCTCTGTAGATCTGCCTTTCCAGTAAAATAAAAACAAATCTTAAAAAAAGCAACAGAGAACTTGAGGGCTGCTGTGGTAGAGCATCAAGTTAATCCTTTTTAGGCAGGGGTTCAAGTCCTAGCTGCTCCACTTCCCATACAGCTGCCTGCTAATGTACCTGGAAAGCAGCAAGGATGGCTTAAGTGGCTGGGCTCTGCATCCATGTGGGAGACCCAGGGCTCTAGCCACTGTGACTATGGGGGGGGGAAGGGGGGTGAACCAGAGAGTAGAAGCTTGTTCTCTCCCTGTTATTCTTTCAAGTAAAATCATATGTGTGTGTGTATGTGTGTACCAAAATGCATTTATTTTTACTTGAAAGGTAGAAATACAGAAAGAGGAGAAGATAGAGAGAGGCTGATCTATACGCTGGTTTACCTGCCTCCCAAACGGCCACAGCAGTCAGAGCCGGGCCAGTCAGAACCTAGAAGTCTCAGCCAGGTCTCTTATATAATTTCACGCGCCCAAAAACTTGAGCCGGGCCCGGCGCGGTGGCGCAAGTGGTTAAAGGTCCTCGCCTTGCACGCCCAGGATCCCATATGGGCGCCGGTTCTAATCCCGGCAGCCCCGCTTCCCTTCCAGCTCCCTGCCTGTGGTCTGGGAAAGCAGTCGAGGACGGCCCAAAGCTTTGGGACCCTGCACCCATGTGGGAGACCCGGAAGAGGCTCCTGGCTTCGGATCGGCATAGTATCGGCCCGTTGCGCTCACTTGGGGAGTGAATCATCGGATGGAAGATCTTCCTCTCTGTCTCTCCTCTGTATATCCGCCTTTCCAATAAAAAAATAATAAAAATAAATCTTAAAAAAAAAAAAAAAAACTTGAGCCATCCTCCACTGCCCTCCCAGGCCATAAGCACAGAGCTGGAGAGAAAGTGGAGTATCCAGGACTTGAACGGTAGCCTACTATGCTATTCCCCAAAACAAACCTTGGAAGAAAAAAACAGAAATGTTTAAAACATAAAAAGGACAAAAAAAAGATGATCTGAAAGACCTTGATAGTCAAGATGTAGGCTTTTCACTTTTACCTGTTTTAGGAATAGTACATTGACTCTGTCAACAGTGGTCCCCAGAGCAAGTAAGATTTTATCCTTTTCAGAGAGCAGAAGGGTTTTCAGATTAGAGGACAAAAGTGGCGACTTAGTTGCTTTGACTTTGTAGGTAAGTAGAATAATAAAGACAATAGAATAACCAATAATTTCAGTTTCTGGTGGTTCTGCCATACAGTTTGGCTGGAGTCTTAACTTCTCTACTAAGATGAATCAATACTGCTGAATCATTCCATCTATTAATTAATGTTCAGGAATCAGCTGCCAAGGTCTGTTCTGTTTCCTCTGTCTTCTGAGTTTGTCTTTGACATCATCTTTAATTTTTTTTTTTTAACAACTTTATCAAAAAGTAAACGTTTAGCACTGAACAAGGGAAAGGACATGACTTGCAAACCAGAACATAACTCTTACAGCAACCTAAGAGAAACAGACAATGCAGGTGGCAGGGTAATGATCAGATGGTAAATTGCATTCTGTTCCTTAAATGAATTTTCTACCACCTTCAAGTTGCTGTCCGGATACTTACTGGACATTTGTAATCTCTAGTTCTTTCATGTTTTAGTGTGTGTGTTATAAGAGCATATCGTCTCTGAAAAACCATTCCACATTCCCCACATTTGTGGGGTGCTTCTTCAGTGTTCTCTTTAGCATCCCTTTTTGGTGGTTTCATCTTTTTTCCTCTTTGAACTAATTTTTGGGCCACCTAAGTAAGAGATATAAAACAATATAAGTAAATATACTATGATTTTGAAAGTTCTAAGTCATGTTCTAAATTCATAACAATATTTGAAACACATATAATCTGATTAATATTGGTATCTAAAGCAGAGTTGCTGTCATGAGGCCATCTCCACTCCCAAATAATGCCTACCACAGACATAAGTTTAAATTGAATGTTTTCAACCCAAAGCCACACCTACAAAGGTTAACTCTTTACATCATACCTGTTGAACCGCTGACTTGGGAATGGCTTTTCGTTTCTGTAGTTTTTTTTCCATGCCTTTGTGTAGTCGAATATACCCTCCTTCGTTCACAGAACGTTGCCTAAGCCTGCTCCGGTAGGTATCATCTTCAGGCCCGAGGTCTGTCTTTGCTGTTACTGCAACTGGATTCTCTACATTTTCTAAAGGTTGTCCAAGGCTGTGTTCGTGTTTTGGAATGTCTTCGGTACAGTCATTGCCGGTCGATGTAACATTTCCCATGTCACTATTCTCTGGAGGGCTACTGATCACAGTCTCTCTTGAGAGACTAGAAGGCAGGTTAGCAACTGTGCTATCTTCTCTGATGTTTGAAGCTTCTAGCTCTGTTTGGTTGTTTTTTGTTACTGAATTAACACATTCCATTTCTGAACAGGAATCAGACGCACACTCCACAGCTGGAAGGACAGCTTTGGCCTGTGAAGAAACCTGGGGGCCAGACTGTCTTCCTACTACTCCATTCTGTCCAGTTTCAACCAATTCTCCATTTATGAGTAGTACAATTTCACAATCCTCAAGTCCAGTAGATAAAGTTGTTGCTGTTCCCTCATTGCTAGTCACAGGAGGGGTTGTACCTCCATTCTGTTCTGGTAAGTCCTGCGTGGCAGCAACTGTTTGTACTTCACCCTTCTTATATACTGTTAGCTGCTTCTCCTCCATTAGTTTATGCACACTTTCACAAATTTCTAGAACTTCTGACATGAACAGATGACGAGCTAGGACAGCAACATCAGCCATGCTACAGAAGTCGAAACTTAGCACAGAAGTATAGGCAAATTCCAGCAGAGGAAGGAAGCTGGCCTTACAAAAACCTGCAAGAAACAAGAAATGCAGGGAAAAAATTGTCTAGAGCCAATAAAACCATCTTACAAGAACAACTGATATAGATTTATGGCAGTGCAAAACATAACAAAAAGAGAAACAGAACCTTTCATTAGGCAATGGATCTCTTCTGGGTTTGTTTTATTAACTAAAACTTTGGTTTATTAATTAAACTCACTGTTAACAGCTGAACCTCTTAACATTTAATACAGAAAAGAGTAAAAGGCTTACTACCTCAAGAATAGGCAGTTATTTTCAAACCATATTCCTTAGACCTCTAAGTGTTCCTTGAATTGCTCAAAAAATAGCTGATGAAAAATGAAAGGAGGGAGAATAAAGATGGCAGAATAAGGTAAGGACACGTTTAAATGGACAGAGAAACATTTAATCAGGATGAAGCAGAGAGGACATATTTCAGGAAATAGGAAAGGACAGAGCAACAGCAGAGGGGTACCTGGAGACTGACAGACACAGGAAGGCAGCGGGCACAGCAGTGTGGTGTTGCAGTGACTGATACTCCAGCACAGCGATCTGAATTCCACTAGCAGCCGGAACTCCACCAGCAACCAGGTGGGAAAGGACTTTCACTGGGAGCTTGGGAGGTGAACCCAGACAAAAAACTGTCCGGCCTGCTGGTTCATTTGATTTGACCAGGAGCAGAGAAGCAGAAGCAGATCTCAGACAGACAGTGCAAGAACAGGATGAATTTCATAGCCCAATCAGAACCCTAGAGCTGAATTGGGTGCCATTTTGCGTAAGGAGGAAAGGGCAAGGGAAAAGACTGAGCATTCACTGAGCTGGGAGTGAGCTCATTTCTGACTCGGTGAACTGCAACAACGTGGCATTCTACGGGTTCCACTGTGGCAGGTCTGGGTAGCTCTCAGATCTGACCGCCAGCAGATCAAGAACTGTAGTGGTGGTACATCAGGTGCCATTCTGCACACTGTGGCAATAGCTTCAGGACTGCAGGGGACAACAGTGAACTGCGCATGTGCTGAGCTAACAATAACTCACTGAGACCCGTGGATTGCACTGGTCCACCAGGAAAATAATACCGACTATGGCATTGTATGGGACAAAATAGGTCCATGTGGCACCCAGACCTAATGTCCAACAAGTTTCGACAAGATCAACACCACTAACAACCTAATTATATAGGACACCTGGTATCTCACTAATCTTGGCACCTGCTCCAACCAGAAGTAGGAGAAAGGTTGCAGAGACAACGGTGCAGCCTCAGCATGTTATCACAGTAGGCGGGAGAGTGGTGAGCCAAGAGCTGAGGCTGTGGAGACCACAGTGGAAATGGAACTCGCTGGAGGTTGTGGCACAAGCGGCTGCAAGCAAAAAGTTGTGTAACAACTGCAATAAGTAAAATCGCATTGTAGAGCTGTGGGTGACAGAGCTTAGAAACCTGCCTCAAGGAGAAGACTCTGCTAACCAGAAGTACAATGACCAAGAGCAAAAAAAGAGACAAAGGCACAATGAATATTACTGAAAACTCCCCTGCAAAGGACCAAAACCTCAGAGTTAACTGAGGAAGACATCAAGAAAATGGGGGACACAGAATCCATAAAACTCATTTTAAAGCTTCTGATAAAAAATGAGCAGCTCATGCAAGAGTTCAAGGAATTTAAGGAAACAGTAAAGCAAATCAAGGATGATATAACAGAAATTAAGAACACAGTAGAGCAAATTAAAAGTACAGTGGAAAAGTTAAAAGAATTTGCCTCTTTCTAACCTGCCCTACAAATGATACTTCAAGATGTTCTCTTGACAGAGAAGAGGAATAGCACCTACCAAAACCAAAGGCAAATGGGAAGAACATCCCAGTAAAATGACAATAGAAGACTAAATCAATGAACAACCCATTCTTAAAATGCTAGGACCAAAGTACCACCCATGTATATTTAACTCTGAATGTAAATGGCTTAAGCTTAATCAAACGTCATAGATTAGTAGACATCTGTTTATTATCTTTAGCAGACACACTTCAACAAAGATCAGCGGAAACTATATCACATGGGTTTAGTTATTTTCTGTTGGTTTCATCTCTTCAAAACACTTTCTTCTGATTAAATCATTCAATGACTCGTAGATCATGCAGTGGCATCATTTTCTTCAAGAAGGTTCTTGATTTTCACTTCTTCAGCTACACGTTAGCCATTTAGTAGCACGTTTTTAACTTCTTGGTGTTAATTTCTTTTTTCTCTTTTTTCTCCCTGATGTTGACTTTGTTTTGTAGCTCTTCATTTAAGGGAATGTATAGTAGTTGTGTAATGAAGACTGTCATATCTAGTAACATGTCATGTAGCTATGTACAGTAGCTATGAAATGTAGACTAACATCCAGATGTGAGGATGCAGTGAAGCATGCATTTCTGCTTCCAGACAAAGATGGACTTACAATAAAACTGTTCATTATATCTTGACAATAGGATTCTGGACTCTCTGCCATTGTCCATGCCCACAATGATGGGCATATGACTGAGTATGAAGAACTATATGTTATTAATGATATAGAGCAACTAGGTGCGGGGGGAGGGAATAGGGGAATATGGAACTGTATCATAAAATGATAATAATAATGATAATAATAAAATTAAATTAAAAAAAAAGAAAAATGGAAGGAAAAAAAGGGGGCAAGTGATTGTGTACTCATGGTTTAATTAACCTATGGCCAAACCTTATTTCAGTAAATATAGGTATGTTTTAACACTGGTCAATATAAAAATTTGACTGAACACCAAATCTAAGACAACAATCAATAATTTTATGCAAGATGCCTGATAGTATCGCTGGCCACAGGGGTGCGCAGTACTGCACTGCAAAGGTAGATGATGCTATGGATATGTGCTTATGTGATTCTATTTAGAAGGAACAAGATTCTACCTTAAAGACTGATGGTTATTTTATGTGGGAAAATAAAGTAAGTTTATTTCACTTCTAAGTATTCAGTGCTTGACTTTGATTTTTGAAAATATTTGCTTATTCTTACTGGATATACATGTGGTCCAGACCTGGGGGTCGGACAAGCTGGTCCAAGTAGCTCCAACAGCTGGCTAATGTGTCAACTGGTAATGGAACAGGGTAGATCAGGCAGGACGGAGCAATCCTTAGCCCACAAGCAAAACTAGAAACCAAAAGGGAGCACATGTCATGCCAAGCTAGACTCTCAGACCTACTGCTCTGCGTGAGCCAGAAACGCCACGCCACAGTGTCTAAGGCAGAGGTAGGGACAGGTGAGGGGCTGTGCCAAGCTGAGTCAGAGCAACCACTGGCATGCATGTGACCTATGGCTGGGAACAGGCCCGGTTGGGGAGCTAAGGGGACAACCCTAGCTGGGTTGAGGTTCCCACCAAGGGGCGTGTGGCCTGGAATGGAGGCTGCGTTCTGATCGAGAAATGGTTGTAGTCTTCCCTGTTACAAGTGTGGACTGGGATTGGATGCACCGGGCTGGGCCAGACCCCAACACCCTCTGATGTCCTGGAGGACCAGGGTAGATGTGCGATGGACTAGGCAAGGTCTCAAACCCCTACTGAGCCATGTGTGAGCCATATGTGGGTATGGACAAACCATGGCTGGGCTGAAACACCCAACAAGAACCAGCTTGGATTGAAGGCCAGTCAGGAAAAGCCACTGTTCCTGCTATGACAGGAGGTGGACTGAGTAGAGCTGGCTCATGGATCCACCGGTAAAACGTGAAACCTGGCATTGGGAGAGGTTCTGATGAAGGAGCCTGGGCAACTCCTCTGGAAGGGCACAGATCCGGCAAGAAACATGATAGGAAACAGCCCAGAACCAGCCCAGAACAGGCCATGGAAAGTTACCCACTGGCATACAATTGGGTCGGGGGAAGACCAGGCTGAATCTGTTCACGCCATCCACAGGCAAATCCAAGCACCAGAACAGTGTGAGTCGAGCCAGGTTCGGTCGCAACAAAGACTAGTGCACAATATGGAATGCTAAGGTGAGGTTGCCTGTACTGGAAGTGACCGCAGCGCCCAACCAGCAAGCATGAGAACAAGGGTGCAGAGCCGGCAGGGGAATAAGGGGTGGTTCCTTTGCTGGACGGCTACTCCCGCTGGAGAATGTAGGCTGGGATGGGGGCAGACCAGACTAAACAGGGCTACAACACCTGTGCGCCTCATGTGGACTAGATCAGGAAAAAGCCAGGCTGGGCTGATTATTCCTACTGGTGCAAACAAAATTAGAGTGGTTGAGGGTTGTATGGGGTTAGCAACAGCATCAGCTGGCAGAAGCTGGCACTGGGGGCTAGTTCTGTCAAGTTCAACCACAGAACTATCTGGAGAGTGCATAATCTGGGAGTGGGAGAGGCCTGGGAGGGAAATAGTGGGCTCCTCTCTCTTGGGTTACCACTTCCATGGGAGGACATACAACTAGGACAGCGGCTGGGGTGGAATGGGGTGTGGGACAGACTGGACTACTGCTACACATACTGGCAATCCAGGGTAGGGGGCGGGCCTGGTGGGGGTTATTGTGGGTCGCTCCAACAAGGCTGCAGCTCCCACTGGTTTATGTGAGGGCCAAGTATGTGCTGGGCAGAACCAGGCTGGACTGCAACACCCATTGGTTTGAGTGGAAGACAGGGCTGGAAACAGAACCAACCCAGCAATTGCAAACACCAGCTGATCGGGGCGATGGACTGTGCCGGGCCCTGTACTTGCTAGCACATACAAGAATCTGGTTTGAGAACACCTCAGACAAAGTTTCTTTGGAGATCTCCCCAATCAAAATGCTGGACTCAGAACCCTAACGAAGAAAAGAGAGAAGACAGAACAAGTCAACCATCCATCTCAGCTATGATGGACTGGATTTTTCAAAGACCTCACAGTGATTGGAGTGGCAAGATTGGCAGTGATTCATAACTGTTGAAATATCAAGCCACCTGAGCAAGAACCTCGGAGCATACCCTACATCCGGAACCTGGGGAGGGTGGGAAATTGGATGGGCCTTCTCCTTTAATAATACCCTCCTTTAAACATGAAGGAAACAATATGGAAAAAATAATAGTCTTATCCACTTTCCTGTAGCCTTTGAACCTTTCTACCCTAATTAACTTTGTAAAGATTGTCAAAATAAAAAAATATATATATGAAAAAAAGAAAAAAAAAATTTGCTTAGTCTTATTGGAAAGTCAGATATACAGAGAGGAGGAGAAGCAACCACAACAGCTGGAGCTGAACCAATCCAAAGCCAGGAGCCACGAGCCTCTTCTACGTCTCCCAAATGTGTTCAGGGTCCCAAGGCCTTGGGCCGTCCTCGACTGCTTTCCCAGGCCACAAGCAGGAAGGTGGATGGGAAGCAGGCCCGCCAGCACTAGAATCGGTGCCCATCTGGGATCCCAGTGTGTTCAAGGTGAGAACTTTAGTGACTAGGCCACCATGCTGGGCCCAAGTGCTTCATATTTAAAAGCGATGTCTTATTCTATGTATTTGCATAATCTAAAATCAGAAGAATTGCATAGTTTCTTATAAAAAAAAAATGTAGTTTATGTTTTTCAAAGGCAGAGTTACACAGAAAAATCTCACTGGGCCTGGCACTATGGCTCTGTGGCTAAATCCTTACCTTGGAAGCAACTAAATCACTTATGAGTACTAGTTCTGTCCCAACTGTTCCACTTCTCTCCGAGCTCCCTGCCTGTGATTTGGGCAAGCAACAGAGGATGGCCCAAAGCCTTGGGAGCCTACACCTGCAAGGGAGAGCTGGAAGATCTGGTTCAGCTCATCTCTGGCCATTGCAGCCACTTGGGGAGTGAGGCAGTGGATGGAAGATCTTTCTCTTAGTATCTCCTTCTCTCTGTAAATCCTTTTTTCCATTAAAAAAATAAAACAAGAAAGATCTTAAAAAAGAAAAAAAAATTCCAACCATTAGTTCATTTCCAAAATGGCCACAACAGTTGGAGCTGAATAGGTCCAAAGCTAGAAGCCAGCAGCCAGGAGTTTCTTCCTGGTCTCCCATGTAAGGGGCCCAAACACATAGGCCAGCTTCTTCTGCTTTCCAGGGAACAAGCAGGGAGCTGGATGCAAGATCTTTCTCTCTCTCTGTAAATCTGACTTTCTAATAAAAATAAATAAATCTTAACATGACACAAACAGTTAATTTTTAAATAGCATTCACTTAGTGTAATTATATTGATGCAGTTATGAATTTCTCTGAAAGTGTTTTTTTAAACAGTTGAAATACCAAAAATTCTTCTATTTTGTAACTCCTAAGAGGCAGTGAATTTTTCCAGACCTCTTATCTTAAAAAAAAAAAATTTATTTTTATTACAAAGTCAGATATACAATGAGGAGGAGAGACAGAGAGGAAGATTTTCCATCTGATGATTCACTTCCCAGGTAACTGCAATGGCTGATGTTGCACTGAACCAGGGAGCTGGATAGGAAGTGGGGCCTCTTCCGGGATCAGAACCAGCACCCACATGGGATCCTGGTGTGTTCAAGGGGAGCACTTTAGCAGCTAGGCCACCACGCCCGGCGCAACACAGCTCTTATCTTGAAACCTTTGCTGAACAGGTACTTTTACATTCAGCACAGTCTGCTACTGTATACGGACTTCTTTAAGCATACAGCCTCTATTTGGAAAAGATACACAAAGCCGCTTCTGGTAGTATTTACAAAGAAAAATAATATGAGAAAATTCTTACCAGAAAGATCCACTACAGCTTCATGACTGGAAACAGCTCCTTTTTCAATAAAAAGATCTCGAAAATATTCACTATTAGCTGACAAGACAGATTTATGAGCTTTATACTCTTCTCCTTCAATCAACAAAGTAACATCGCAGAACTGATTGGAAAGTCTCTGCTCATTCAGCTGTTTTAAGACGGCCTGACAGTGCTTTGGCGAAGAACGTTTCACCACTCCTTTGGTGTCAACCTAACAAATTGAGAACAATAACTGTAGCATTCACCAACACTTTTTTTTAAGCAAACTTCTAAAACAAAACAGCTTTTAACAAATATGAAGTAGTGACGTAACACTCTTCACCCTTGTGCTTAAGGACATACTGTCCTATTTTCTGCTATCATTATTGCAATATACGTAATAAAAACTTGTTACCTCGCTTGTCACTGCCTGTTCTTGCTGCTCAGAAGGCGATGTTGTATGAAGTGGATGAAGGGGGGGGGGAACCAACAAAAACTAGCCAGATTAAATCTGCCTTGTGGAAAGCCCCAGGAACTTCTTGCAGACAGTCTGCTTCTCAGTACGCATATATCATTACAAAAGGGAAGAGGGACCAGAGCTGTGGCACAGCAAGGTTCAGCCACCACCGCAACACTGATAACCCACAACCCGCTCGGGATTGGCTGTGGTACCAGCTGCTCCACTCCTGATCCAGTTTTTTTTTTTTAAAGATTTATTTTTATTATTTTTTATTGGAAAGGCAGATATACAGAGAGGAGAGACAGAGAGGAAGATCTTCCGTCCGATGATTCACTCCCCAAGTGAGCGCAACGGCCAATGCTATGCCAATCTGAAGCCAGGAGGCTCTTCCAGGTCTCCTGTGCGGGTGCAGGGTCCCAAAGCTTTGGGCTGTCCTCGACTGCTTTCCCGGGCCACAGGCAGGGAGCTGGATGGGAAGCGGGGCTGCCGGGATGGAACCGGCATCCATATGGGATCCCGGGCTTGCAAGGCGAGGACCTTAACTACTGCGCCACCGCGCCGGGCCCCTGATTCTGTTTTGTAATGCACCTGGGAAAGCAGTGAAATACGGCAAGTATTTGGGCCACTGCCACCATTTAGAAAGTGAACCAGAGAAGGGAAGATCACTTTATTTTCTGTATCTCTTGCTTTTACTCTGTAACTCTGCATTTCAAATTAAAAGAATCCCTAAAAAAAAGTGGGGGGTAGAGGAGGCATGGGGATGAAAAGTAATGAACCAACCAACAGGTTACCAGATTTATTTTAAAGAGAATGATTTGACACCTATGATCAACATGAGGCAGCATTAACTTACTTTTACCTTAAACAGCAACATAATATATTACCTACTTCGCTTTAAACAATAGGCTGTACTTCAGATACACAGAAACGCTTCTAAAACTGCAACATTAACACCAGTATCAACCAGGCTAGTGGCTTGAGAAAGATAAAATTGACCAACCCTGTAAATACTGGTACGCCTATCACAAACGTAAAAGCTGAACGCAAAGTACCACTTACAAAAACAAGTTCATGTTTGGAGACCGGCTTCTTTTTGGTAGGCTTGGAGGCTGTGCTTGGAGGCGAAGTAAAGTTACTCAGGTCATCCTCAGATTCATTACTTTCTTCTCCAGATTCAAGGTCTAGTCCCAATTCTTCCAACATTTCCGAAGTATCTGATATCGGACGAGAACGATCTAGTTTCTCCTGGCATTTGCTACACTGTTTAATGTAATCCTTGACTTGCTTTAATATGCCTAAAATAAAAATGAAATGAACAAGTCAAACCCAACACGGTTTCCATATAAAAACTTAATATTGAAGAACCTCAGTATCAAAATCCCAACCATTTGTCCATTTGTTCATGACTCACTGTTACTAAGAAACTGTGAGCTTGCAGGCCAAACGGCCTATGTGACCTTTAGCACAGATGGGCCCCAACTCTCATGAATCAAGGCCCACCTATGTCTGGTTATCTCACAGGTGGCTCCAGGTAGTTAAGTGGGCACTTACCTTAGTTGCTGGAGGCATGGGCTGTCCAGCCATGATAGGTAGGGAATGTGTGGTATCTTCGCTCACCTTGCAGGATATTGTGAATTGCCCCCTCTCTAAGCTACTGTGGACTGCCCCTATAAAAACTCTATGAATGTGCTGTTCCGGGCTGCACTCCCGTACGGTGTGTCCGTCTGCCAGCTGCCTGCTCTCAACCAAGAACCCAGGCTCGGACATGCTGAGCTTGAATAAACCATCCTTGTGCACTTGGATTGACTTCAGACTCCTGGTGATTTCCGGGCATCTCAAAATCTGGGCACAACAACATGACACTTAATTTCTGCATACTATGTGTATTTGAGGGCCAGTGTTGTCTACAAGTGGGTTAAGTTGCTGACTGTGATGTCAGCATCTTGTATTGGAGTGGTTTGAGTCCTAGCTGCTCCACTTATGATCCACCTCCCTCAAAATGCACCTGGGAAAGCAGCTGAAGATGGTCCAACCACCTGGGCCCTTGAACCCACGCCGGAGACAAAGATGAAGATCTTGGAATCAGCCTGCCCAGCCACTGCTGCCATTTGTGCAGTAAGTCGGCAGACGGAAGATCGCTCTTTCTCTCTGTAATTCTGCCTCTCAAATAAATGTTTTAAAATGAAATCTATTTATATGTGAGGTATAGTATCAGGTTTTTAAAATGATACCATAGTAAGGGGTGTCTATGTATCCATATTTCATATACATTTAAGAGTAAATGGGCCAGTATAATGAGAACTTTCTAGAAAAGAACAGCAGTGCTAGTTGTACCACAATGCAGAAGGACAGCATGATCATAGAAGGACAATGAACACAGGATTACAACTGATAGGATATCATTTCTACAACTTACATTTCTGTTTTCATACAAAAACAACTGATAGGATATCATTTAAATGAGAATGCTTGATGGGATATACAAAACAAAAGATGGTTCCAAACAATTAATGAGTTTTATAAAGGCTTATGGGACCTACTTAAGCTCAATACCTCCTCCCTTATCCTGTGCGACCCTCAGTCTATAAGTCTGGTGCCACTAATAAAATAAACTTCCGGCTACCTCATCGAGACAGTGGTCCACGTGCATTATTTCAGGCTCTGTGCACAAAGTCCACCACTGCAGGACAGCGAACACAACAATACACATGGACTTAATGTCACTTAATCACACCTATGAAATTTGTCAAGACACAAATTTGGAAGGGGAGGTTGCTGTTGGGATTTAGCAAGTTAAGCCTCTGCTCACAATACCAGAATTCCATACAGGCAGCATTTCAGGTCCAAGCAGCTCCAGTTTTGATCCAGCTCCCTGTTATTGTGCCTGGGAAAGTACCTGAAAATGGACCAAGTACTTTGGTGCCGGCACTCACGTGCCAGACCTGGAAGAACCTCCAGGTCCCTGTCATTCAAGGAATGAAGCAGTGAATGAAAGAATCTGTCTCTTCTTTGTAACTCTTTCAAATAAATAAATACGTCTTTTTTAAAAAAGGGGCTTATTTGGGGTCTGGCGCTGTAGCCTAGCAGCTAAAGTTCTTGCCTCACATGCTGGAATTTCATATGGGCACTGATTCTAATCCTAGCAGCCCTGCTTCCATTCCAGCTCCCTGCCTGTAGCCTGGGAAAGCAGTCGAGGATGGCCCAAAGCCTTGGGACCCTGCACCCATGTGGGAGACCCAGAAGAGGTTCCAGGCTCCTGGCTCCTGGCTTCGGATTGGCTCAGCTCCAGCCACTGTGGTAGCTTAGGGAGCAAATCAACAGATGGGAGACCTTCTTTTTCTCTCCTCCTCTCAGTGTTTCTGACTGTCCAATAAAATAAATCTTTCAAAAACAAGGGGAGCACATTTTATGTTGTTTGTATTTTGTCACGATATAAAAAAACGGATATGTGGAAAAAGAGATGAAATATGTGAGGAAAGGAACCCAGAGTGAGAGCCTTGCAACCTCCAGGATCTCCTAGTGTGCTGGTTCATTTCCTGGAGCTCCACTTCCCCTCCAGCTCCCTGTCTGTGGCCTGGGAAAGCAGTCAAGGACGGCCCAAAACCCCGAGACCCTGCACCCACATGGGCAATTTGGAGGAAGCTTCTGACTCCTGGCTTCGGATTGGCTTAGCTCTGGCCATTTCAGCCATCTGGGAATCAACCATAGGACGATGATATTTCTGTTTCTCCTTCTCTCTGTATATTTGCCTTTCCAATAAGAAAACCCAAAATAAATCTAAAAAGACAAAAACCTTTTTAGGGCATAGTGCAGTAGCCTAGTGGCTAAAGTCCTTGCCTTGCCTTGCCTTTACCAGGATCCCATATGGGTGCCAGGTCATATCCAGGTCCCAGCTTGGGGCCTGGGAAAGCAGTAGAGGATGATGGTCCAAGGCCTTGGGACCCCACACGCAAGTGGGAGACCCTGAGGAAGCTCCTAGCTTCAGATTAGCTCAGCTCTGGCCGTGTGGCCACATGGAGAGTTAATCAGCAGATGGAAGATCCTTCTGTCTCTCCTTCTCTCTGTAAATCTGACTTTTCAACAAAAGTAAGTAAATATATATGTAAGAAAAAAAAATACATTTCAAGAGGACCGGTGCTGTGATGTAGTGGTTGCAGCCGTGACCTTCAGCGCTGGTATCCCATATGGATATCAGTTTGTCCTGACTGCTCCACTTCCAGTCTAGCCAATCTCAGCTAATGTAAGCTGTGGAGGATGAACCAGGCTTCGAGCCACTGCAGCCATGTGGGAGACTCAGAAGAGGTTCCTGGCTCTTGGTTTCAGACTGGCTCAGCTGGTGCAGCCAATGAAGAATGAACCCGCAAATAGCAGACCTCTTTAGCCCTTTCAAATAAAATAGACAGCTGGGCCATTGTATCAGGTCCAGTCATTTTGAAACTCTAACAAACAATATGGGATAACAAAGATAGGGAAAAATATCTATTAACACTTTCCTACTATTATAATATAGGGAGGAAGGTATGTGAGAAGGGCGGAAGGGGAAATCCCTGAGCCTTTATGGAACTGTATCATGAAAAATAGTAACCAGGAGCAAGGGCGGGCCCTGGTTCCACTGCCACCACCATCTAGCGGGACCTAGGGGAATTAGACCTGAGGGCCTGGTTGGTGGGAGCTTCCAGCAGGTGCTGGGGGTATCAAGCCAGGTTGAACTCAATGCCTGAGGCCCTGGCCATAGCAACTGTTGTCATGCGGTGAGCAAGTACCAGGCTTTGGGGGGTCAGCGTGCCAACCGGCACCAGGCTCCACCTGCTGGCCACCTGGTGGCAAGCTCTGGGGCATTGGAGATCAGGAACTGCTGTCTAGGGACATCAATGAATGAGGACACAGTGCATGTTGGTGAGGAATCAAGCCTGAGTGACTCTGTCCCAAGACCTTGGGCCGTCCTTCACTGCTTTCCCAGGGCACAAGCAGAGAGCTGGATGGGAAGTGGAACAGCAAGGGCACACACTAGCATCTATATGGATGCCAATGCTTACAGCAGAAAATTAGCCAGTTGAGCTAACATGACAGACCCCAAAAAAGAAATCTTACAAACAAAAAACTAGAATCAATCACGTTTAAAACAAAACAAAATAAAAAACTTCAATTACTGGGGCCAGTGTTGTGACCCAGTGAGTTGAGCCAGACTTCCAGTGGGTGTTGGCTGAAGTTCCAAGCTGCTCCACTTCTGATCAAGCTCCCTGCTGCTGTGTGTAGATCAGGGATACACAGCCCAAGTGCTTGCCGTCCACCGCCCCTGGGCTGGTGAGCACCGGCATTGCTTGGCCTGGCTCAGCCTTGGCTATTGTAGCTGTTTGGGGAATGGACCAAGGGATACACAATTATCAACCTCAACAACCTGCTCCCCGACATACTTCCCTCTCTCTCTGTAGCTGTAGTTCTCTCAACTATTTTTTTTAAATGCACTGCTTTGAAAGCAGTTACACAGAGTTACCACAAACATCTTTCATTTTTCAATTAAGGTGATGGTAGGTATTGCAGTACAGCAGTGCCCACAACTCTCATCCAAGTGCCTTGCATGAAGACTCTGTGCTTACAAGCCAGTTTCCTGCTAATGTGCCTGCGAGGCAGATTGCGCTAGCACAACTGTTTAGATCTGTGCAACCCAGGTGAGAGACCTAGACGGAGCTATACCTCTGCTTTTCAGCCTGGCCTGTCCTGGTTCGTTCAGGTACTTGGTTAGTAAACCAGGAAGATTTTCCTTATTGTTCTTTCAAGTATACAAAAACAAAGATTAACACTGGACCATTATTGTAGCACAGTAGTTTAAAAGCCACCTACAAAACCTGTATCCCATCTAGGAAGCAGTGTGAGCCCTGGCCGCTCCACTTCAGCTCCAGCTCCTTGTGGCAGTGGAAGATGGCCCTGAGGACTTGGGGCCCTGCTACCTATGTGGGAAACCAACATGGAGTTCCTGGCCCTGGCTTTAACTTGGCCCAGGGCTGGCTGTTTTGGCCATCTGAGGAATAAGTCATTAGATGCTAAGAGTTCTTTATCTGTCTCTCCATCTTCTCTCTGTTAATTCACCTTCAAGGAAATAGATCAGTCTTAAAATTAGGTAATACTGTATTTTACTTTCTTTCTGGACACTGCATACAAATAATAACTGAGCTAGTTAACTAGTAAGCCACATTAAGCAAGAGAAAGCTACAGATAATCAACTCTCAACGCTAAAACTGTAACAGTAGTTAAGAGATGCAATCTGGAGCCAGTTGGTAGTGGCGCCAGCATCCTATAAGGACATTGGTTCCAGGGTCAGCTGCTCCACTTCTGACCCAGCTCTCTGTGTGTGGCTTGGGAAAGCAGCAGAAGATGGCTCAAGTCCTTGGGACCCTGCACCCATGTTGGAGAACCAGAAGAAGCTCCTGGCACCTGGCTTCCGATCAGCTCAGTTCTGGCCATTGCAGCCATTTGGGGAGTAAAACAGTGGATGGAAGAACTTTTTGTCTAACCTCTTTGTACATCTGACTTTCCAATAAAAATAGTCTTTTATTACCTTTTTATTTTATTTTACAGATAAAGGAGGAGACACAGAGAGGAAGATCTTCTGTCTGATGGTTCACTCCCCAAGCAGCCGCAATGGCTGGAGCTGAGCCAATCCAAAGCCAGGAGTCAGGAGCCTCCTCCCGGTCTCCCACACAGGTGCAGGATCCCAAGTCTTTCGGCCATCACCCCCCCCCCCCCCCCCCGCGGTGTGGCCTGACGGCTAAAGTGCTCACCTAGAACGCCCCGGGATCCCATATGGGTGACAGTTCTAATCCCGGCAGCTCCACTTGCCATCCAGTTCCCTGCCTGTGGCCTGGGAAAGCAGTTGAGGACAGCCCAAAGCTTTGGGACCCTGCACCTGTGTGGGAGACCCGGAACAGGCTCTAGGCTCCTGGCTTCAGATCGGCATAGTACCGGCCGTTGCAGTCACTTGGGGAGTGAATCATCAGACATAAGATCTTCCTCTCTGTCTCTCCTCCTCTCTGTATATCTGATTTTGTAATAAACATAAATAAATCTTTAATAAAAAAACTATGCATGTTTGATCAATGTTACCTTTAGCCTTCACTCACCATACAGTATTAAATGACACATTTGATGGCAAAACAATAGTCTGCCCAATCAATCCTAATGAAACGCAGGGATCAGCCAATATTTACTATTTCAATAACTGCTATTACAATATTGACGTATACAACATTACAGCTGGCTTTCTCTAGAGCCAAGTAATCCAGACAGCGGTTTAAAATAAATATTCAACTTTGTGGAAAGCGTAGGCGGCCCAGAAACCACTTGTTACACACCTGAGGAACCAAGAAGCTTTAAAGAGCTGTACTTTGTAACAATTTAAAGAAAACCACTGTGCCTCACAATTCCCAAAGCCCTTTTCATAGAAGTATTAAACCATTCAGGAGTAGGAATTAACTGAATATTCTAGACTCTTCACAACTGCACTAAAAATAAAGCTCCAGACAATAGCTCTCACCGTCACTTAACCCTCCTGCACATATTAGTCATTATTCGTGCCGGGGAGGGTGCAGGGAACCTCCAAACTGTCGCTGCAAGCAGCGGAGCAGAACTGCCTGCAGGCAGCAAGCAGCCCCAAGCTCCGCGCCGACCTCGCCTCCGGTACCGCCCGCGAGCTCCCCAGGGCCCCGGCACAGCCGCAGGGCCGGCCCAGGGGGGCGGACCCGCCCGGCCCAGCCCAGCCCGAGCCCGTCCCGGTACCCTCCACCCGCCCGGCTGCAGCCCGAGCCGGGACCCTCCACCCGCCCGGCCCAGCCCAGCCCGAGCCGGGACCCTCCACCCGCCCGGCTGCAGCCCGAGCCGGGACCCTCCACCCGCCCGGCCCAGCCCAGCCCGAGCCCGTGCCGGGACCCTCCACCCGCCCGGCTGCAGCCCGAGCCGGGACCCTCCACCCGCCCGGCTGCAGCCCGAGCCGGGACCCTCCACCCGCCCGGCCCAGCCCAGCCCGAGCCGGGACCCTCCACCCGCCCGGCTGCAGCCCGAGCCGGGACCCTCCACCCGCCCGGCCCAGCCCAGCCCGAGCCCGTGCCGGGACCCTCCACCCGCCCGGCTGCAGCCCGAGCCGGGACCCTCCACCCGCCCGGCCCAGCCCAGCCCGAGCCCGAGCCCGAGCCGGCACCCTCCGCCCGCCCGGCCCCAGCCCCAGCCCGAGCCGGCACCCTCCGCCCGCCCGGCCCCAGCCCCAGCCCGAGCCGGGACCCTCCGACCGCCCGGCTGCAGCCCGAGCCCCTCGGGGCCGCGAGCCTCCCCAGCCCACCTCCTCGCCGCGCCTCACCTCGCCACCAGTAGGTCTTGGACAGGTCGTGCCAGGTCTGGTGCCGGGTGTGGTGAGTGCCGCCGGGGCCCAGGTGTGCCGCCTCGATGAGGCCGCGGCGCCGCTCGGGCTGCAGGACCACCTCCAGCTCGGCGAAGGTCTTGCGGTGCCGCTGCCGCCGCTGGTAGTACAGGGTGCCGCCTCGCACCACGTAACAGGCGGCGGCCTTGCGGATCTTGCGCTTGACATTGCCTTCGGTGCCCGGAGCGTACGGCTCGCGCTCGTTCGTCAGGTAGCGCAGGATGGCCCGGTAGCTCTCCTCGCTTGACATCGCGGACGGCGGCTCCGGGGGCGCCTGTCAGCGAGGAGGGCGGAAGCCAGCGCCCGAGCCCCGGGCGGATGCGGCGGCGGGAGGCACTGGGCGCCCGCACGGCCGTGCCTCCGGTGAGCGCTCCTCGACGGCGCCCTCGGCGCCTCGGGAGAACGGACGGGCCGGTAACCAGGGGGAACTGCACTTCTGCGGCGCGCGGATCCACTGGCGGCTGACAAAATGGCTGCTGCACCACCGGAAGTGCCGCAGAGCGAAGGAGGCGCTTGGGCTTGGTTGGAGCTCGTTGGCTGCCTGGCTGTCTGGAGCGGATCTAGTGACGTCAGTGCTGCGGGCAGACATTTTGGAAGCGGGAAGACGCTTCCTGTGATAGCTCGAAAGGGCTTTGAGCAGACATGTTAAGTCCTGGCAGTTTGCCCTTTCATTTTTCTCCGTTTTTCCTGCACTCTGAGGAGCCACGCATAGCGCCTCACAGTCATTTGCAGTCCTGTCCAAGGCCAAATCCATTTTATGTCTAATAATTGCAGGCACCCTTCTTCAGGAAGCGTCTTTCTTAGCAGTGTTAGCACGAGGATACTGGACGAAAGACAGCCTCCCTCATTCCTGTGCAAATATAGGGCCCACCCCGTAAGCGTTATAAAATCAAATCGCTGACATTGTAAAATCCAACAGCTCAACTCTAAACTACCAAGGAATAATCGGGATTTTTCTAGAATGATCAGCATATATGGTGACGCTTCTCCTCAAAATAAAGTCCTCGCCTTGAACGAGCTTGGATCCCATGGGTGCGCAGGCTCTTATTTTTTAATGCAAAGTAAGACTTATATAGAGAGGAGGAGACACAGAGAGGAAGATCTTCAAGCAACAACCCAATCTGAAGCCTGGAACCAGGAACTTCCTCCAGATCTCCCAGGCGGGGCCTAGTGCTAAAATCCTCGCCTTGAACGCGCCAGGATCCTAGGGCGCTGGTTCTAATCCCGGGAGCTCCACTTTCCATCCAGCGCCCTGTCTGTGACCTGGGAAAGCTGTGGAGAAGGGCCTCAAGTCTTGGGACCTGCACTCCGGTTGGATACCCGGAAGTTCCTGGCTTCGGATCAGCACAGCACTGGCTGTTGTGGTCACTTGGGGAGTCAACTATCAGACAGATCTTCCTCTGTCTTGCTTCCTCTTTGTATATCTGACTTTGCAATTAAAATAAATCTTACAATCCCAGTCGCCAACTCCAGCCCAGTAGGGATCAAGTTCCCAATGTCCAGAGGAAAAGAAATCCTTATCAGGCCTGGTATGCACTAAGACTTAGCCTGCAGATGGAAGGAATGAAATTGAACGGGAGAGTTTTTTTGTAGAACAGTTGAGATCAGTGGATCCAAATCCACTGCTTGTGTTTGCCGGGCCGTATCTACTCCCTTGAATAGAAGCCCTTTCTGTGGCTCAGTGGCCTAAGCCTGTCTTCCACGTGGTTAGAAAGCTTCCATTCAGCTAAGACACCTGGGAAAGCAATGAGATGGCGAGATGGCGTTTCAGCTAGGCCCAGCCCTGCTGCCTCTTCTCCAAACTATCTCACAACACTTCAGTGTGCTAAGTTTATAGTAAACACACACGTGACAACCACGTAACAGGTATAAACCTATCACCAACTTAGCTTCTACTAAACAAGGCATGAGGGCACAAGCGAACCCTTATACTGAATTTCGTTTGGGCTGTGGTCAAATTGTCTTCCAGAGTGAAACCTATTTGTACTAAGTAGGTTTTACTTCTAGCTCCTGGGAAACCCAAGATGGGAAAATTCAAATTGGCAGTTTGGCTTTGGAACACTAATACAGTGCCCTAAAGGGACACTTTACTCCATGTCCAAATATTTAACACATCTGGATGAGGATTACACCTTTACCTACAAAAATGCCCAACAACCACTGTTTTCTGTGTTGCTTTTTGCTGATCTGGAATACCAGGCTATGAAAGGCATCTGCAACACGACATGGCTGTTTCACTATGCAAGTACAGCATACTCTTCCTTTAGGCTGGTCTAGGATCACGAGCAGAGCTGACAGTTTTTATGACCTTTAAATCATACCAATGAGTAGAATGAAAACCCAACACAAAATAAATGCTACAGGAAATGGCAACTTGGCAAACAAAACTATCTTGTGACATTTGTAAGCTGCTCTACAGCTAAGTAAACCCAGCATTCCACCATCTAGATGTCTTCACCACTCCCAACACACAGGAGGAGTCATTAACTCATGACAAACCACTTCACAAATGGTGCATACTGCTTAAGTCCCAACTGTACAGCTCATCTAATAGCCAAAGTGCTTATCATGAAAACAAAATACTGCACAACCTAGAATGATACTCCAATGTTTATTTAAAAAGCCGATGTGCCAATTTAGCGTTTTCCACCAACTCGGGGAGCTGAAACCTTCACAGGCTTTACAATCTTTTGCTTAGGTGCTGCCTTTGTAGGAGCCTGTAATAAAACAACACAAAGTAACATTATTGCATTAAATTTATCACCTCCATCTTAAATGTAGACTCTGTATGCATTCTAACTCAGCTTTCTTGCTAATTTAACCGTACCGCCAATATGATCATCTTTTTCCATGTAACATTCCAAGTTAACCTCTATCATGAAAGACAAAGCTACAGTATTGTCATATCGGAGAAAGTAGGTATGCTAAACGCAATGTAGGATTCTGAATTGTAGTCTAACAGTGAAAATATTTTTTTACCTACTTCAAAAAAAATTTTTTTTACCTTTAAAGTGTTAACAATGAGTGGGGGCTAAGCTGTTACTATTCTGATCTGGAATTAGTTCAAAATCAAGTTAGGGCCTGGTGTGTTAGCCTAGCAGCTAAAGCCCTTAGCCTTGCATGTGCTGGCATCCCACGTGGGCACTGGTTTACGTTCCAGCTGCTCCACTTTCCACCAGCTCCGGGCTTGTAGCCTGGAAAAGCAGTAGCAAACGGCTCAAGCCCTTGGGACACTGCACCCTCATGAGACCGGGAAGATGATCCTGGTCCTGGCTAAGGTCTAGCCGTTGCAGCCACTTGGGGAGCGCACTATTGGATGGAAGATCTGTCTCCGTAAATCTGCCTCTCCAATAAAAATGAGAAAAAAAAAATTTTAAAAGCAAGAAATGGTGTTGTGACAGAGTTTAGGCCATTGCCTGTAATGATGGCATTCCTTTTGAGTGCTGGTGGAGTCTCAGATGCTTCACTTCCAATCCAGTCCCCAGCGGATGTGATTGGGAAAGTCGGAGGACAGCCCAAGTGCCTGGGCTTTTCTGATTACCTTCTGGCTTCAGCTTGCTTTAGCCCTAGCCTATTGACCATTGGGGCATGAGCCAACAGACAGAAGGACCCTGTATTTCTCCTTTCAGAAAGGGAAATCTTTAAAAGCAAACAAAAAAATAGCTTACTTGGGGGGGGTTAATATCATGATGCAGAGGACTGAGTTAATGCCTACAACAGCAGCATCCCATAATGGAGCACCTGTCTGTTACTCCACTTCCCGTCTGTGCCTTAACAGCTCCTCACACCAGTCTGGACCAGCCCTGGCTGCTGCAGCTCTTTAGGAAGTAAACTATCAGGTGAAACTTCTGCTTCTCCTGCTTTATCTTCCCAAATTCCTCTCTGACCTCAACGGATTTGTCTCCCAAAGAGAATATATCTGGAGACACAAACACTCAACAACAACAACAACAACAAAAAAAAAAAAAAAAAAAAAAAAATCATTTCCATTACAGCTTACACTAAATTTAAGAACTTTCCTGTTGTATTATTTTTTTCTTTTAAAAAATCCAAGAAAATGTTTACCTTAGCAGCAGCCATTGCTGTCTTTTTAGATGCCTGCTTAGCCTTTTTTGCTTCCTTGGCAGCCCTGCAAGTAAAAAAAAAAAAAAAAAAAAAAAAAAAAAAGTAATTTTAGGTATAAACTACTTTACTCCCTATACAGTTTATTAACAGGAAATTAGAGCTTTTGGGTAAGTAAAATTACCATATTTCTCCCCTGTATTCATTTAATCAGCTATTCATGCACCAACTTTATTATACACAGGATATCAACTCCATTTGGTGCTTTCTATTGTATTTATCAACAACCTCGTAGGTATGGCAAGCATCAGCACACAAAATCTATGAAATTAGGTTCCTGTACTTACAAACCCAAACAAAGCTGAAATGTCCCTATTTAAATATTCACCTGATAGCTTGTTCTCGTTGAGCCTTCCTTACTTCAGGCTTCTGATTTCTCTTGGCCATGATATCAGCAAGAGATGCACCAGTGATGGCTCTCTGGAATTTGACTGCACGACGGGTTCTTTTCTTTTGAATTTCTTCCTACAAAGCGAAACGACAAGAAGCACACTCAAAGACTTATTTATGTTACAAACCCTAGCTTTAAATCTACCCAAAGTTGGATTACATTTTACTGAGACTTATAGTAAGCTAGCGAAGCCCAAGAGATATACTGTCTCTCCCCGACTCCCACTCTCAAAAATAAAATACATCCTCTACACAAAGCCAGGTGCCAGGAGTTCAATCCTGACAACCCATAGAGCAGGTTACCATCTGTGCCCCCCGCCCCCGGGCATAACCAGTAACCAGATCTAAGGCCAACATCTAGCTCTCAGACTGGCACATTGAAATGGTGCGGGAAATCCACATCACAATGCCTGTGCCAACTTTTTAAAAACTTACTATGATTGGAAGAAACATTCAACTTAGGCAAGCATTTATTACAAGTCAACAATGGTTCGGTCAAGATAGAGTAAAATGAGGGACCAGGACTTGTGGCACAGCAAGTTAAGTCCCTATATCTTATTTAGCTCCCACATTATGCAACCAAGCAGTGCGCTACACCCACATGGAGACCAGAAAAAAGCTGCTGGCTCCATTTCACTCTGGCAGTTACAGCAAATTGGGGAGTGACACAGAACCTCTCCCGGTCGGTCCTAACTCTGCCATTCAAATAAATGGACTTTCCCCATTTAATCTAATTATCCACCCTTCCATCCTCAGGCCCTAGGAACCTCTACTCCACCATATCCTTGTGTATCCACCTGTTCCGAGTATCTTGTAAAGGTGGAATCACACAGTTCATCCTTGTCTGGCCGATTTCACTTAGTATGTCTTTGAGGTCCCTACAAGTTCACTGTCATGTTTTCCAGGTTTAATGATACTCCAGTTTAGTGAAAAGAGGGTTACCCCTTGGTCCAAACAAGAGCCTTATGCAA